TATGTTACAGGTTTGTTTTAGTAAAAATATCTGATGGCAAATTGATTTGCTGCAAATTATATGTAACTTTCTTATGTAATGAAATAAGAAACATGCTGGATACACTTACTGCACCCAATTAATAACAGACGTGTTCATGTATTGTTATTATTCACAGTTTGTGGTCAAACTCAGAAACTATAAAAAAAAAAGTTAAATAACAAAAATACCGAACTCAAGATTCAAGATTTTATTTGAACACTCAGACACAGATACATGTGTAACATGAGGTCATATATATTAGCATTACATAAACATGACGAAGTAAACATGTGGTATCAATAATATAGATATAGCATATAGATATAACAATAATATACAAATATGTTTTTCAACATTTTCAGAACATATTGACAATGTTTTTTTTATAAATACAGAAAGTCGTTTATACAGTTGTACATTACATATTGAAAGAAGACCTTCCATTTTTTTATAATTAGGATTCACTGTGTAGTAGCTTGGTAGAAACTTTTCTCTTAATACAACAATATTTTGATCAGAACATTTAGATAACAAATGAAATTCATCACCAATATTACTCCTACACAAAGTACATATTCTATCATGCCTCGGTATATTTTGCCATCTGCCTGTTTCAATAGGCAGACGCAGATTTGAACACCTAAAGTGTGTGATCCAAAGCCTGCAATATTTAGGAAGTTTAAGAAGGTATGTTTCTAAAGTAAAATCGTTTTTAAATATTGAGTAAAATTTTCCTCGTGATGAGTTTTCAATATTACTAAACCACTGTTGTACAAACTGATCACAAAGTATTTGTTTTAAGTACATTTTATCACAGTAGCCCGTTTGATTTGCAAAAATATTTCCAGTGCCAGTACTGTTTAATATTGCTTCTATACAATTTACCCATTTAAAGGTGTATTTAGATTTAGGCTTTAAACCAATCATCAGCCTATACAATAAACTGCATAGCTTTGATTCATTATCTACAATTTTACACCAATATATAATCATTCTAATTTTCACCTTTATCTTCAGAGGAAATCTACCCAATTATCCTTAAACCATAAAATAAGACGTAGTGTTTCTAACTTTCAGCGCCCTTTTGCAGAATTTCAAGTGAGTCTTTTCGATAATTTTCAGGTTTTCAAAGCCCCAAACTTCAGAACCATACAGTAAGATAGGTTCTATCATAGAATCAAAAAGTTTAAATTGTAAATCAATAGGTAAAGGTTCATTTCGTATAATTTTGTAAATATAATACAGTGCCTTTTGGGCTTGATCTACAAGTTTCTTTTTGGTATCAAAAAATGTACCATTATATTTGAAAATGACATCCAAATACGAAAATGTATCTACAATTTCAAGTAAATTATTCTGCAATGTAAATTTCAGATTTTGTTTAGTTCAAAACGAAACGGAAAGTTCGTAATCTAATTGAAAAATCAAAGACAAAACACATCAAACGAATTGAACATGAACCTGATTTAATTGATAAATTTAAAAACGCTCAATGTTACATTGATGATATTTTGCTTTTCTGAGGAATTTTACACTTTAACTTTTTTTTTTTAGATAAATCTTATACAGACATAATTAACTGTCTTTCAGCTCAGTATTATTGTGATTTTACTTTTTTCGAGATTTGGATATTTCAGTTTTTCACCGGAAACTTTATACAAGAATTACGACAATATAGACAATATAGACGATATTTCGTTTTCTTCTGTTATTTTTCCCTTTTAAGACTGTGATGTTCCTTCGGACCCTCATTGCGGTGCGTCTATTTTCACAGCTTGTTCGCTATGCCCATGACTGTAGTGCGTTTTAGATTTCAATTAATCTAATTTATATATAACTGGTTATTTATCAAGTTAGAGGTTTCGTTATCCCAAGTTAACTAAAACTTTTACTAAATTCTTCCATAGATACAAAGATTTGGTTTGGAAGTTAAGTTTTGCTGTACATGTACTTCTGTAACTCACATGTACTTCTGTAACTCCTGTAAATTTAGATACGACCCATGTGAACACATCGATCCTTCGTGTTTTTTTTTTATTTCATTTCATATCCAAAGCCAATACAAGTGTCAAGTTTCTTTAAACGGACCAAATTGGAAAGCCTCTGAGAAGGTTAAAGCGCTCAAATCAAAAAGTAAGAATGCCTTTTATAGCTGGAAGCAAAATGGAAGACCAAAAGAGCAGGACAACAGAGTATATACGGAAATGAAATACTGCAAAAGAGAAGTAAGAAAAAAAGTCCGCCAAGAAGATCATCTGGACAGCCAAAGATTTTACAATAACATGATGAATATTTGCACTCAGAAACATTCCACCGGTTGATTAGAAAAAAACAGAGCACAATCAGATAATTCAGCAACATTGATAATAAAGAATACAAACGGAGAAGATATTATAGAACAAGAAAAGCAAACTGACATCTTTGCAGAATTCTACGAAACATTAGCAACCACAGCTACAGAGGAACATTTTGACTCAGTATATATATGGAGGAATGTGAGTTTATATACAATTTAATCATCTCAATTGTACATCAATCTACCATCAATAGAAATGACACCACACAATTTACAGAAGAAGAGATAAAAAAAAAAGCCATCAATGAACTGAACACAGGGAAAACAGAGGATGGCTACTTCTTAACAGCCGCGCACTTTAAACATGTCGGTAATACAATATTACCAGATATTGCTAATCTCTTTAACAATATCATGCTGACAGGGACAATACCTGATATCTTTAAAACAGGCATTCTTACTCCAGTTCATAAAAAGAAAAAAAAAAATCAACCTTAACAACAAACTACAGAGGAATTACAGTCACCTCTGTCTTAGGGAAAATTTTTGAATATGCATTATTAGAAAAAATGCCTGACCTGAATGCTCATCAGACGGAACTCCAATTTGGGTTTAAAAAGGATCTCTCACCAACAATGGCTGCTCTTATTTTTCTGAAGGCATACTACATGCAAATCAACAAAAGAAAAACTTATATCTAGAAACCCTTGACAGTCAAAAGGCCTTTGATGTGGTACATCATATGATCTTACTAGAAAAATTATACTATGAAGTTCCAGCAGATGTTTGGAAAGTAATTCAAAATCTGTATTCAAATAAGACAGAAAAGATCAAGTCAAAATATCAACCAGAAATTATCAAATTAGGAAATGAAGCAATACAAACTGACAACCAAGCCACACATAAAGGAATTATAAAAACGAACCAAGAATAAATATACAAGAACATATAGGTATTGCAAGAAAGACTCTGTATTCTTCAATTCCAGTGGGACTAAATAGAAAAGGAGGTCTTAACCCCAAAAAAGCTTACAAGATCTATCAAGCGTACGTTCTTCCAAGACTACTATACGGCCTGGAAATACTTCCTCTGAATTTGACACAAATAAGAAAATTAAGGCAATTCCACATCAAAACTATCAGATGCTTCCAATCCCTTTCAATAAGAACTTCAACAGCTGCTGTATATATGCCTATTGGCGCAATACCAGTTGAAGCAGAACTTCATAAGAGACAACTTAGCCTGCTAAATTCTATTCTAGTAAGTGAAAACACCAAACTTACAACTTTAATTAAAAGACAACTGATTGTCAACTCAAAAATCAAGAAAGTTTCTTTACAAGGGTGCAAGAAATCTTACAATATTACAGTCTAATGCCAATTCACGAGCTGAAAAAAAATCTTCCAACAAAATTTCAATGGAAAAAAGCAAATGAACACAGCCATAGCCGATAAATGGACAAGTAAGCTACAAACCGAAATGAAAGAAAAATCCACTCTTAAATTTTGCAATACAACAGAGCTCAAAATACATCAGACTCGTCCAGTATGGAACTATTTACCATCAGTTACACATGAGGTAAAAAAAGGCCAGATTACTTACCGGTACATACCTTTTAGAATGTGACATACAGAAATTCAAAAGGGAACAAGAAAAAGCAAATTTTACGCTGTGTCAGTTGGAAATAGAAACTCTAGAACACTTCTTACTCAAGTGCCCAGCTCTTTATGATAAACGGCAAAAAAGTTTCCCGGATTTGAAAAAAACTCATCATACAGTCTGTTGGATATAGCAAATGGAATGAAACTTTCAAAGGGAACCAGACATTAATTATTCAAATATTTATAGACTGCACAACAGTAGCCCAAGAAATGAACTTTAGTCCAGAGACAATTACTCAAATAGAAAATTTCGTTATAATTTTTAGGGTTTTAGTCACTTTAAACAAGTTACTTTTAAATTTTATGAATTACCATATACGTGTAATTAATGCAACTAATTAAACTGATGTAAATATTTCCACTGTAACTACTTATTTTAATCTTTATAGTCAACATAGTTTTAAAACTTCTTAACAAATCTAATGTCTTTTTTAAGTATACTAAAAAGATAAATAATGTCCTGCTGTAAATATATCCCCTTACCACCTATTCTTTTATATAATCTTAATTTTAAAGATAAGGTCTAAATTTTACTACCGTGTGACACGGGTGCTACGTTGCGAAGGATTCTACGAAGAAAAGAAAGTAGCTTATCATAGTTAACGAAATTTTGTTCTAAGTTAGTTGTAAGAGCAACACAAAGAAGTAAAATCAAGCCTTCAATCGGTACAGATTTAGGGGAGAAATTAATGTTTTCAATACACGACAAAATCTAGGAAAACAGTAAACTTTATTCCCAAATTTCATCGATAAAATGTTTGACTTTACTTCTTTTGGTTGCTCCAACCTGACCTAGTACAGGATGTCCTACCACAGAGTAGGTAACATGTCGAAAATAGAATCAAAACTTGGTAATATGATAATAGTCTATTGTTTTATATTTTTTTCATATTAAAGCATTTTATATCTTACTACAAGATAGACTGTAGTTGATTAAATCAACGTCACGTGGTCTCTTGTTAATAGTGGTTTCATTTCCTATCATACCACATCGTGTTATTTTTTAATTGAAAAAAAAGAAATACAGATTAAAAATATATAATGGTTGCCAAAAAATATAAATAAATGTGATCTTGTTCGTCAGAAGAAGTTTACAAATCCAAATTAGAACAATATATCTATATGTCAAGATTTGCACTCAACATGTACAGATACAAAATCTGCTTACTAAAATTATGTTGTTTTCTTTGAAATCATATTCCTGGTAAAGTTGGGACTTGGAAGCGATAGATACCAAAGGGACATTCAAACCCACTGGTGGAAGATATATTAGCAACGTCATGGCAAATAAAAAGACCAAAAAGACAAACAATAGTTTATTAACATAATTTAGAAAACTAAAAGGGTAAGCTGATCCTGCTCCATATGCGACAGCCGTCGGTTTGCTCATGTAGGTAAAAACCCGGTCATAAGTATAATTCGGTGGGTCAAATTCTTGAAAAGGGGCGGGATTGTGGTAACAAAGATTGAAACGGATATTCCATAAAAGTTAAATAAGGACAACAGGTGTGTAACGTTATTCAATAGTCTTAAATCAATTAAGCTATAAAAAAATATCCGGATCACAAACCAAAACCGAGGGAAAGTCATCAACTATAAGAGGACACCAATGGAACAATAGAAACATAGAGAGTGCTTCAAAAGCAAACGCCAACATAAACAGAAACGGATTATTTGATAACAACTGCCATATTCTGGACTTGGCAGAGGACTTTAAAAAAAATTGTGGGTTGAACCTTGTTGTATAACTAGCCAAACCTCTCGCTTATATGGTACATAGTACACCAGTACACCACATTAGAATTCTGAACTGTGCGTCACATGTTTGTATCAATGCTATAAAAAAGTGACGTCACAGGTAAATTCTAAAAATTTAATATGAAATTGGGATTAAATTAGTAATGGTGTTACATTATGTATTTTCTGACCATTACAAGAATATTAATATAGAATTGTGTTAGGAATGGTGTAATTATTTGTATTTCTAACCGTTTCGGGTTTTCTAAATCAAAATTGTGTAAAAACAAATAAATCCTATGCATATAGTTGCTTAAAACTAAAAATCATATAAATGAACTTGCTGATTAATTATCTAAACTTTAAAATACATAAAGAAAATAAAAATAGAATTCAAATCACAAAGGATAACATATACCACAATATCCAACCAGACTTACAAAAGACACATTATAGCTAAATACATGAATGTTGGATGTATAAATACCGATACATGTCTAATAGCAATGCGAATTTACTCTCGGCAAAACAGTCATATCCGGGAAGGAGTCACGTTCGGTACTTAGCAGACCAGACGACATAGATGATTAGCCACAATGTAAGACGTGGTAAACATGTCGTTAGTTAGTTTAGACACAGATACATATTATAGATCAACCAAATCGTGATGGTGTCCATTAAACTTTCGGATTGTCATTTTTTTATTTTTCATCCTTTTAACTATGTTGGAGCAGTTTATGCGTAAGAAGCAAAATCGTAAAATTTTCGAAAGGAAGAGTTCTGAAGTGCATTGCGGACGCAAAAGGTTTTTACAGTGTTGTTTCCATTGTCTTTACCCTTGTTTTTATATTTTACTTAATTTGTTCTTTATTGAGGAAGTGTATACTATATATGGTATGTACTAATATCATAAAATACATTGTACAAATTTTTTTTATCGGCGTCTTTGTCAATATACTATCAACTACAACATTTGTGTCGGCGATTTGTTTTACATTCATTTGTAAGGTTGTTTGAATTTAAAGTCAGTTGTGTTGCATGTCTGTGTTGTATGTTTATATATTTTTGGCTGCTGGATCCCAATTATTTTCTCATTCACCTTTTATGCCTGTTTGAGTTGCTCAACCAATTTGTCAATATAACAGAACTGTCACATAATTAAGCAGTTTAGCTAGCTATAAAACCAGGTTTGACTCGCCATGTATGTACCAAGTCAGAAAAATTACTGAGGTTTCTCCTCATTACGTCGATTGATAACGTTTGAATTGTCAGTTTTTATGATGGACTTCCCTTTCTTTAGATTTACTTTGGAGTTGGTATTTTTTTTTATATAATTTTGCTAAATGTTGAAGGCTGTACAATGACCCGTATTTGCTTAAATCTATGTCATATGGTCTCTGGTGGATAGTTGTTTTATTGTTAATCACACCAAATCTCCTTATTTTTGAATTCAAAAACGCAATATAGATGAAATATATAATGGTTGCCAAATGAATCGATCGTAAAGGTATTTTGATGAATAGTGCAATGAAAATAAAAGAAAGATATTGAAAAATCAATGGACATACTTCTTTTAGATGAAAAAGTTTAAACCAGTAAAGTAGAATTAGTGTGAATTACAAAGATAAGTACATCTAAACTTTTTGTCTTAAGCCGTGTTCACATTGACCTAAACTCGGTGTTGTGTTAGTGCAATTCACACGCAAACTAAACACAGTTACGTTCTCATTGATACAACTCTATGTTTACATGTAGTTTAAATCATGTTTTGTCTACATGCAGTCGATAGTCAATGTAGGCCATGTGTGGGTTGAGTTTACACAAAACTAGATATTTAGAACATGGATTTTACCATGTATATTTAAGGAAGAAACGTTTTTTAGATAAAATTGTTATTTATAACAATTATTAATAATTTTCTTTACATAATTATTTGTCTAAACTTGATAAAAACTTTAGGTAGCTTTATTATTCCCTTATCAAGACTCAAAGCATTTTTTTTCAATATTTAACAATATAAGGTACGGGGAAAATCTGGATTAGGAATATTTTTTTTTGTCATCTGCTTGACCAGAATATTTCTTTTGTGGTCAAATTGGGGATCAGAATATTTTTTAAGGAAAAAACATACCCCCTTTTTGAAGTCAAATCATTGTTTCCTAACTGCTAGAAAAATTGTCCGAGAAATTTGAATTCGATTATATGTAATGAGCATTTAAATGACATATAGTTTACAAGTGTGAACAAATCTAATGTACAGGTAATTAAACCAGGTGTATTGATGAGAACAAATTCAATGTAAAACCAATGTACATTACATTAAAGTAATTGTAAACATGTTTACTGTACATGGCGTTTGGTGTGAACACGGCCTTAATGTTCAAATTTGCACTGAACAAGTACAGGTACAAAATTTGCTTACAAAAATGGTGTTTTCTGTTTTATTTGAATTCATATGAAAATTATATTGGTTGCTGTCTGGACGTGGCAACTTATTTCACCTTATTTACAAGTGCTCAGACTTAATATACACCAAGTGTTTTTACTAAATAGGTTTTTTTTCTTTTTTTGTGACCGTGTGTGATAAGTTTGTTCACGAGCTATAATAACTTTATCGATTAACAAAAACTGTTAAGGTCAAAATGTTTGGCCGCCATTTCTGTTCTGTCTTTTGTCTTTTATTTGGTTTGACTTATTTTTTAAGTTCTGGTAGTCTTAATGTTTTAAGTAATTAAAAAAACATGAATGCTTAGAATGTCAACGAAACTCAAACAACACTATGGCTAAAGGAAACATTTGAAGATAAAAACACCAATTTACAAACAGTACACATGCAACTGAAGATAGCAAAACACTTATCCAACCAACGTAGTGGTTGTAACATTGGGAAGCATTTTTAAATATAATTGTAATTATCTTACATTCAAATTTTCTCCTTATACACACACATTTTACGTTTTTCACTTCAGACATGTTCAACATTTTCAAAACTATTTAAATGTCAATAATAATACGATAATTCATATTCTTCTTCTTCTTTTTTTCTGAGAAGCAACCACAATCGATAATCGAACAATCCATTTAAGACACATCTTGATGATTTTGTTTACCTAGAAAATAGAATATAATTAGTATTATAAATCTAGCAGTTATTAATTATTACAGGATTGAAAAAAGTAGAATACTGAACTCCGAGGAAAATTCAAAACGGAAAGTCCCTAATCAAATGGCAAAATCAAATGAAGTGTCAGCATTTAAAAAAAATAGCTAAAGTAGATTTGTGAAATAAAGTCCTGAGCACAGTCCACATACTTTCATAAGCCAAACCTTTCACTCATTATTTGATACACATTGATAAGGACAAAAGTGGGCATATTTCGACGGGTAAAATGTTTCAGTATTGTTTTAAATCCTATTAGTCAAATGTATTTTTTGTCTATTGAATAACGCAATTAAAGTTGAAATATCCATTGAATTATTATGTATACTTTGGATGAGTGAAAGTTCAAAAGGCTTCGACATAGTTTTATTAAAAAAATAAGCATCGTGTTTATTGATTTAAGACTTGTGCGCATATGTGATAACAAAATGTTCAAACAAGGAATGGAACAAGTAGATTTAACGCTTTATGTTCAGAAATTATCCGGTGTAATGAGCAACAGTATAATAAGTAAACAAGAAGAACCATATCTCCAAAATAATTTGTGTTGATGGAAGATCTTTTATATTTTGTTCTTCATTTATTCACAACTTTCGGACGATTTGATAAGGCCATGTTGTAAAGAAACCTGTCGTTTGTTACAGACTAATGTAAATTGCCCTTTAGATGTCTTTCGTTTTTCATCTTCTGAGGGTAGTTATCTCATTGACATTTATAGCCAAGATGTTCTTTTATTCATATTTGTGTGAATTTATACATTTGAAAAATATATTTTAAATCACCACAAGTAATAGAAAGATAATCAATATTCCAATTTGTGAATAATTTTGGTATATAACTACAGTTTTTAATGTTTTTCTTTTAATACTTTGAAATCTTCATTTCTTTTGATAAATTTATCGCTAACAAGAAATTCAAAGTGTTATTTGCTACGAAATCGACAAAAAAATACGAGTTTTGTGTTGTAAATATTTATCAAATCAGAATAAATAATATTTCGTTATTAGCTAGCAGTTTCCTCAAAATAAAATAAAAAAAATCAATTAATTATGTAATATTGACTTCGAAGTCAATAATATACCTATTTAATTCCGTATTCATACAACCTTTAGTTGGATACATTTGCGCATGTATTTAGCATGTAGGAGTCAGCATGTTCACATATTTTAAACAAAAGTATGTCAAATTGAAAATTCAATAAAAGAAAACACTTAAAATAGCAATTTCACAGACATATCTGGCCCATAAGTAATCAGTTTTATATAGATAAAAAGAAGATTGCATTTTTAACCTAAACATAAAATCAAACAGACTTAGGAAAATCCGATTGCACATGTTCGCTATCTTTATATATGTATATAAATATATATGAATATGCTTTGGTCGGGTTGTTGTCTCTTTGACATAATCCCCATTTCCATTCTCAATTTTATTTACGTCTAAACATGAGACAACATTATGACAGACCATCGGATAACAGGTGGTTATATAGGGATAACAACAACTTACTAGCAATATATATATGTATATTGCTATCTCAAATTTAGCTCAACAATGTTAGTGCAGGTCTAGGCGGTGTTTTCGTAGATGTATGAAGTTAAAAATACAAGTTCCAGCCCCGGTCGGGGAGGAAGTCAGGAATCAGATCTACTTTAACATTGTTAGGCTGATTTTCTAGGCATTATATATACATTTCTCTAATTCTTCGTCAATTTATCCCTTTCTGCACCCATTGTATAAAAGAAATTTAATTAACGTGTGTTTTTTTTAGCTCAGTTCTTCATTGGTTTAAATTCGATTATGACGTCAAATTTTCTTGCTTTCCTCTGAATTTCCTATTGTGATGGCATGAAAAAAGGCGATCATGCCTGATGACGTCACATAGAAAGAACACATCTTTTTGCAGATCATTCGAAAAGAAGGAATAAGTTTGCCTGAATATTGTTAGAAAATCATAAGAGAAACAAATTCCACCACCAAATCTCGTGTAATACGTTATTTATTCACTCTCGACAGTTAAATTTCAAATATTTAAAACGCTCGGCGAGCCTCGCTGTTTAAATTTGAAAGTTTAACTGTCTCGAGTGAATAAATATCGCATCACACTCGATGCAGTGGTAGAATCTATAGTTTTTTATATATATATATATGTAATTGAAAATGGAAATGGGGAAGGTGTCAAAGACAAAACCCGACCAAAGTACAGCCCAGACACCAATGGGTCTTCAACACAGCGAGAAAATCCCACACCCGAATACGGGCTGTAGCTGGCCAATAAACAAAAATGTGCAAAAGGACATCACAAAAAAATCTATGAAATATGAATGAATATATAAATTAACAGATATCCTTCATCAGTATGATAATAATGATGTAAAATGAATCACAACTATTCTGATTTGACTACGGTTGTATAATGCTAAAATTTCAAAGTTGACGATGGTTAAGTATTTACAACAGAGACAATAGTGCGATATGATCTGGTACAATCCTAAAATTTCACAAAAGTTAAGTTATAATAGTTTGGTATAATTCAATAAAACTAAAAGAAGGACATTCAAACTCAAATTACCATTCTATTTGAAGTAGTTCTATATTTCTGTCAGATACAAAATGATTTAATTTTGATTAACTGAATGTATTCGATGTAAAAACCCAAGAACTTGTATAATTTGGGATAATGTTTCAAAATTGACGTAAACTGCAATTGGTAGCTCTGTATAACATTTTGATTTTATAAAAACATGAAAAACTGTAGATTAATTATGTTTTTTGATGTTATAAAGATTTTTTGTATTCATGTACATGAAAGTTTTATCAACTTTAAAAGGTTTACCCTATGAGTAAAACAAGTTCAAAAGAAAGGAGTATGCCCAGTAAGACCCTTTTTGGCCCCAAAATATAGCAGTTTTACAAAAATATTAGAATGTAAACTATTAGCTATTTACTGGAGTGAAGAATACTTCTGTTACATAAATTTGGGATATTTTTGACAATATAATGCACATGTATCGGGTACTAGCATTATTAAGTCATGCTAAATTACTGAAATCTTCACAATTATATCATTTGAGGTAATTTTAAGATGGTTTACGTGTTAAATGAAAGTGGCCGCATTTGTGTTCATTCTTAACATTTAAATGTAAGTTGTATTTGATGATAATACATAACATATATAAGGGTTGAGACTGAACACGAATGCGACCACTTTCATTTTTGACAAAAACCATCTGAAAAGTGACATATTATGGCATATTTGAAAGAATATACATATTTAAGCTTGAATTTGAGCGTCTTTAATGGCTAAATCAGTTCAAATCTTTCACATTAACTAATTGAATCCACCGAAGTAGACAATTAAGTGTTTAAAAAGTGGCCAAAATCTTTCATCGGATGAACCTGAAGTTTGAGGCCAAAATCGGCCCTTACCGGACCTACTACTTTAAATTTGCTCTTTTGAGAATTCGTTGCAATCTTTAATACCTATCTCGAAACCAATGTTTGAAAAGCATATATGTTTTGAGATATTCAATAAAAAAAAACTTAGCATGAAGTTTGAAGTAAAGTATTAATAATATTTGTCATGCTATCAACCTTACTAGGACTTTTATTTTACTATATCATTTATCATTTACCCTATTGTAATTTTAGAATTACATACAATCTACGTTATTCGGTTAAGTTTTGATTCACCAGTAGTTTTACAAAACATATTATAAAAATGACAGTACAGTTTTATTCTTTAAAGTGAATTATTCTTTATTTTTATTAATATTGTGTTAGTTTGTTCATATACGATATCTTACCTTATATCAAACATTCATTCAAGATGAGTGTTTCTCATGGTAACAGTAGCATCTCATACATAAATAAATAAACAAACGTCCGATAACAAGTTCCTTTTTAAGATAAGGTTGACAATAACTTCTCTTGTGATACAATATTTGAACAGGTTTTGAAATAGCGCATTGACAATTCGATTCAAAGATATAATATCGATCACAGCACGATTTACCCTTATATACAATTGAACAGTTTCCGACTTTTGTATTTGAATATCTCCTCCCACGTAAAATTAACTATTTCGAATAACATTCTGAGAATTGTAAAAATATAATCGTTGACATGAAGTGTCATGTCTTGTGCCAAGGGAAGAAGAACGTCAATTAGTGTATATTGTTATATCTTAATATGTGATAATTTAAGGAATTTTGTTTTCATAGCAGTTCTCAGACAGTCATAAATATTCTACACCAGTGATGATTTAAAATTGACATATTGTATAGATATAATTCTATTATTGAAAACAGTTTGTTGTAATCTCTATATTTTTGTTTTTTTAGTCTATTTGTTTGTGTCTCATGGACGTTTACCTTCTATCTTTTTTCACTTTGCTTGTGCTTTGCGAAATTAAAAAAACACTATGAAAACTTATATCAGATACTAAAATAAGACCACTATTGTCATATTAACCAGTAATTGAGGTCGCTTAAAATAAAAAAAAGTCAATCATCTGATGAAAATTGTCTAAGCAATAACTCACTTTCTTTTTTTATGGAATTTACGAATTTGCTCTTAACTTGTGAATATCAGCTCGACAGTTTTTATCATAGCAGAAAAAATTGCGTTACCTCCAAGTGCTTCGTGCATTCATTTTCTGTTTATGTTTTGTTTTTACGCTGTTTTTCGCTATGTTGTTGTCTGCCTCTTTCGAATTATGATTTTTACTGCGGAAGATTTGATTATCTGTGAGGCTTTTTGGCAAAAAGTGCCTCAATTCAATGATTTTTGCTTAGAAAAGATTCAAAATTATTAAGTTAATGTGTTGTCGTTGTATAACATTTATACGTTCGTGTTATATACCTGTAAATATAACAAAGAAAAATGGACTCGAAATTTGGAACTACGCCATTTTCCAATTTCCATTTGATATGGTTTTGAATTCATTCTTATAAATAAATATCTAAAATTACTCATTATACGAAACTTTAAACGAGAAAACAATTAAAACGGAATAACCACACCACTATGTTTTGAAATACGCTCAAATTTTCCATTTAACTATTATCAAAAATTACATATGATTAAATTCCAATTAGGATACGTTTCAACTCACTAGCGACATGTTTTCGCTGTCAACAATCATGTCCTTAGATAGTCCTAGCAAGGGTGATCTTATGATTATCCAAGCCTTAAGGTTATAATAAAGTTTCATTTACAACAACTCTTCTTCTTCTACAGCAGAATAATATGTCCACCATATTTAAATATGAATACATGTATCATGATATACAGTAAGATTAATAATTATTTATATAACTATAATAACGACAATAAAATACAATGAAGATGAAATATAAGGAACAGATATATATCACGAATATGTAGACTTAAAGAAACAGTTGTGTAAGGATAATTCTATAATATGATGTTGAAAGTCTTTTGTTATAGTTTGAACATCAGGAAATAGTTATATTAAGGAGTGGTAGAGGCTCTCATGATTTATCAAAAAGAATTGAAAACAAAATATACATTAAATGTTAATATTTTTCCCGATTACGTTTTTGTTGTTGTTTAAGGCAATCAATAGTTACGTTAAAAAAAATTAAATTCATTAAACATTTATCTTCAACCGTTGGATGAGTTCAGCTTGAAAGTTTTACAGTCTAAGTCAAAATATAGGGCCCTGTCTCTACGTAATTTAGAGAGCAATAAAACCATTTTTAATCCACCATTTTCTACACAAAAAACTAACTTTACCAAGCCAGGAATATGACAGTTGTTTTTTGTTTGTTTGATGGGATTGAGCTTTAAATTTTGCCATTTGATAAGGAACTTCCCGTTTAGAATTTTCCAAGGACTTTAGTGTTGTTATTGATTTATTTTGTAATTATATTCAATTCTTTGTCATGATGAAAAAAACATTGTATTGTTTAGAACCTCTCGTACACTGATCGTATTAGAGACTAATAAAGTGTCTCGATTGTTGTCTTTTTTCAAAAATTAAGAAGATAGTTTTTTGGAAATTGTTTACGTTCATGAACTAAACAAATTATAAGATAAGTTCTTCTCATAAAATTTGACCAATCGGAAACCGAGATATATAAAGAGCGTGGGAAGATACCTTTTACTGCGAGTTGTATGTTTCCAATATTGCGTCGGTAGACGAAATGATTACGATTGACATACTTGGGTAGGATTGCTACGGATGATTCCGACAAAAAATTTAGGGGTGTTATACACCATTGTGTAGAAAAATCAATTTAAATTTACGACATAACAAGTTTAAGTGGGTTTGACATCTGAGAAATCGGCATATAACGGAATTTCGCGACCGGCTGACATTTTTCAAAAATGCAAGTTAAGTACCTTGTGTTATATTAAGGTATATAGGGGGAACAAATTTTGAGACAAGTGCCTGTGTGTTTGACTGATGTTGTTATCTATCACCTTTTATTTTGTTTTGGTTTAATATAAGTTCTGGTTATCTAACCTTTGGAAGTAATTTAAAAATCATGAATGGTTAGCCTTCAAATAAACACTAACAACATAAAGAAAAATTCAATAAAAATCATAAACTTTACATTTAGAACTAAAGATAAAGCAACACAAATCCCAACAACGTAATAGTTGTGCCATTGACTGGTCGTTTTTATTTCTAAATAATTATGTCTTTCCACTTTTCTGTGGAAAGACCTATTGCATTAGTTATTATTATTATTCTTTTTTTTTCATTCCGTCAAACTTTGGTTTTTTTTGCAATATGTCGCCTAGATATTTGTAATAATGTATCGTACAGTGTATGCGCTTTTAACTTTCACCCTGCTAAGCCAAACAATTTTATTTGTAAGAGTTATATCCCCATTCACTGTTCATCTTGTGTGCATCTCCTTCTTTTTCTGAATTGTTCCTTACATCCTTAGGAATTTTGGCTAATTTGGATCGAAGCGATCCAGTGAAATCTTATGGGAGTTATCTTACTTTACCAAATGAATGTGTCGGTATGTTTTTGTAACTTTTAAACCGTTAGCCGAATAACCCTAGAATTTTTTTATTTTAGGCTTATGGGTATTAACTTAGAAACTGAGGTCAATGTCAAAGGTCAAGGTCATGTTCTCAATTTTGAATTTTTCTTGTTTTGCATTTACTCTGACACTTTTAAAGATATGTATATAAAGAACTACCTATAGTTGTTAATTTCTGTGTCATTTTGGTCTCTTGTGGAGAGTTGTCTCATTGGCAATCATACCACATCTTCTTTTTTATAGTTAAAATGTTTGCTTAATTGTGATGAAGATATGATACGTTTGGTCTGAAACAATCTAATATTATTGTTATATACATATACACATTCATGGATCTACAATCTGTCGATACCTGTATCTTTGCATTGCACAAGGTTATGTTTTTCTCTGACTGTTTATGACGTCTTTTCACAAAATCCATTGGATGTTGGATGTGTACTGATTGATAATTTAGTCTTAAATGCATGATTTTTTTATTAGTTGTTAGTGGCTTTGAATTAGCTGTCAATAACTGCGAGTACTCTCAGATCAGTACTTAAAGTCTTTATTGTTGGGATATACAAGTACCCGGCCATGTTCACTCTGTGTTTTTGTTAAATGTATTTCTATTTGTATCCTTCTGATGAGTTAATAGATATAAGAAGATGTGGTATGAGTGCCAACAAGACAACTCTCCATCCAAGTCAAAATTTATAAAAGTAAACCATTATAGGTCAAAGTACGGTCTTCAACTAGTAACCTTGGCTCACACCGAACAGCAAGCTATAAAGGGCCCCAAGAATTACTAGTGTAAAACCATTCAAACGGGAAAACCAACGGTCTAATCTATATAAAAAACGAGAATCGAGAAACACTTATGAACCACATCAACAAACGACAACTACTGAACATCAGATTCCTGATTAGGCCTTTTTCAATTGATTTTTATAGTTCGTTCTTATGTTGTCCCAGGTTAGGGGAGGGTTGGGATCCTGCTTACATGTTTACCCCCGCCACATTCTCTATGTATGTGCCTGTCTCAAGTCAGAAGCCTGTAATTCAGTAGTTGTCGTTTGTTGATGTGTTACATGTTTGTTTTTCGTTCATTTTTTGTATATAAATAAGGCCGTTAGTTTTCTCGTTTGAATCGTTTTATATTTGTCATTTTGGGGCCTTTTATAGCTGACTATGCGGTATGGGCTTTGCTCATTGTTGAAGGCCGTACGGTGACCTATAGTTGTTAATTTCTGTGTCATTTGGCCTCTTGTGGAGAGTTGTCTCATTGGCAATCATACCATATCTTCTTTTGTATAAATAAGTTTTATAGAAGTTATTGCCCCTGAAATGTTAGATATAAGGTTAATTGATTGATATCAAGTTAGTTCATGATAAATCAATAAGGTCTTTTGCAAAATGTTAGTTTACATATGACCTACAAAAATGTCAACCGGAAGTGGCCTTTTTGCATTTTTCATGAAAAAGTGCATAGTTTACATTGGCACTAATATCGATTTTGTCATCAGCAAATTAAAACATAACTAAATTTGTATTTTTTTCAAGTGGGATGTATAAAGACACACCCACGTTCGTTTAGATCTATAAAGAGGTTAAACTCCTATCTATCCTACTGTCTGTCGATACATTTATTTTTGGCATTGCACTAGTCATGTCTTCTTTGACTGTCCATGACGTTAAAATACTAAATCCCTGGGATGTGTTTTAGTTGATTTTAGTCTCTGATGCATGATTTTTTATTATTAATTGTTTTGGCTTTTAACTAGCCGTCAGTAACTGCGAGTACTCTCAAATCGTACTTTCTTGTTTATTTGACCTGTTGATACTAATTGTATTGCTTTTTTGTTATTTAATGTTATTCAGGGTTATATCTGGTCTATATACCAGCTTTGATAAGTGTTTGGTATAACTATAAATTTTCACTTCGTACTATGAACATCAAAATTATTTATTTTGTAATAATATTTCCTTTCTCTATTGGTACTGTACACGTATACCTAACAACAAAATTATTTTCATTTACCTGTGTTTAAAGTTATTGCAAATGGATGGTATTTTTGTTCGAGCATATTGTTTTTCTTTAATTGTTTAACATTTCTTACCGATATAACATGTTACTTTTATTATTCTTCCCTTAGTTTATTTATTTTGTATTTACATTGTGTCATAGGTCAAATTTATTTGTTCAGTGTATGTTCAATGGTGTTAATATGTCCTTTGATTGAGTTAAGCTATTTCAGTTGATATTTTATAGTGTGTCTTTCTATGTTGTGATGTTACACTATTATTTCGGAAAAAGGGTGAAGGTTTGGTACCATCAAAACGTTTAAACCCGCTGCATTTGTTTGCAGCTGTCCTAAGTCAGGAATCTGATGTTCAGTAGTTGTCGTTTGTTGATGTGGTTCATAAGTGTTTCTCGTTTCTCGTTTTTTATTAGATTAGACCGTTGGTTTTCCCGTTTGAATGGTTTTACACTAGTAATTTTTTGTGGCCCTTTATAGCTTACTGTTCGGTGTGAGCCAAGGCTCCGTGTTGAAGACCGTACTGTGACCTATAATGGTTTACTTTTATAAATTTTGACTTGGATGGAGAGTTGTCTCATTGGCACTCATACCACATCTTCTTATATCTATAGAACCCATATTCATTTTAGATAGGCATATATAAACCGATCATTTGAGACCAGATTTGACCTTCATTAAACCGGAAGTATAATTATTTCCCTTATTATAGGCAAAAGTATATAGAAACATATATTTTTGGAATCAGTGTATAAACAGCTATCATATGAGACTGGAAGTGACATTTTCCAAACCGGATGTTGCAAGTTATCTCTTTTTTTCATGCTAAATTACATAAAGACCATATATTTTTTGGAATCTGAGAATCAAGCTATCATATAAGACTGGAAGTGACATTATCTAATCTGTAATTAGCAAATAACCACTTTATTTTAGACCAAAATACATAGAAAACATATATTTTATTTGTAATGAGTATGCATAAACCTGTCATTAGACGCCAATAGTATTTTTGAGTAAACTGATAGAGGCTTCATCAAAACAACTTTAAAAAAATTGATGTGGAAAGACCTTCAATGGTTCTCTGAACTATTGATTTTTAAATGTAATATGTTTTACTAACACTTGTCAATTGTTATTCCTTAGACACACACCTTTTACATTTTTTACATGAGATGTTTCACATTTTTAAAATAATTTAAATGTCAAAAATAATATAATAATCTGTATTTCCCTTTATTATCTGAAAAGCAGACACTGTCGATACATCTATTTCAAAACACATCTTGATGATATTTTTACCTACAAAAAAGAGAATACAATTAGAATTAGTATAGTTGTAGTTAACTATAATAGATTTGAAGTGTCGGCATTATTTCTCAAATAGCTAAAGTGGTTTTATGAAATAAAGATAAAAGCAAAATCCACAAACCTCGTTTATACCAAATAATACTTCCTTTTTTTATTTCATATAGATATATAGGCATATTTTTTACATTTAGATCACATCTCCTTTTATTCATACGTATACATGTTTTAATCAATTTATAATGTCTCTTTCCTTGTTGCAAAAAGTTTAATTAATTTATTGTCCCAATCAACAAAAATTTTGAATGAAAATTACTGCAAGAATTTTATCTTCGAATGTTAAAGAGGACTCCAATGTTTTTCACATGAGAGTATGACATTGCTTCTTCTGTCTAGTGTTGTTTTTTTAAGAACAATTTCCATAACCTTCCCTTTGAATTTTTTTATAAAATAGTCAATCAGATGCCTCTTTCTTTAAAAAAGATTTCTTTGATTTATCTATTCAGCATCAAAATGTAAAAAGAGTAACTAATGTTTACATTTTGTCAATTTAAGCAGATGGACGATGTGATGGTTCTTCTGAAAGAAAACTCAAAAACTCTCATACATTGCTTTATATACCTATTACTTGTGATCGGATGTTTTCATATAGCAATTTATTTCAATAAATCACATTTTCATTTTTAATTGCGTTATTAAAATTCACATTAAGTGTTAGTAGTAATGTCAAACTCTCTGTTAATAGAAGTAAGATAGTCATATTTGGTTTGCATAATAATTGTAAGATAAACATGTTGTTCATCTGACTTTTACCTACTTTGCATGGTTGAATTGGTTTAATAATTAAGTCTAAAAAGTAGAATAATAAAAATTCCGAACATCAAGGGATATTATAAATGAAAAGACCCTTAAAAGAGGGGCTAAAAATACCAGAGGAATAGTCAAACTCATAAATCGAAAATAAACTGACAACGCCATGGCTAAAAATAAAAAAGACAAACAGACAAATAATAGTACACAAGAAGCAACAACGAAAACTAAAGACTGAGCAACATGAACCCCACCAAAAACTGGGGGTGATCTCAGGTGCTCCGGAAGGGAAAGTAGATCCTGTTCCACATGTGGCACCCGTCACGTGCTCATGTTATTACAAACCCGGTAAATAGTCTAATTCGGTAGGTTACAATACAAATGGCAATATCAAAAGGTCAAACACATCAAACAAATGGTTAACAACTTTAATATTCCATACTTGGTACAACATTTCCTTATGCAGAAAATGGCGGATTAAACCTAGTATAATAGCTAGCAAAACCTCTCATTTGTATGACAGTCGCGTAAAATTTCATAATATAAAAAAAACCATGTGTGAGCAAAACAAACAGTCATTATAGATAAACATGTCGAAAATTGGGCCGTGCTGTAGTCAAAACTGTGTTATTATCTTAATCACTATAAAAACATAAAACTATGTCAACAAATAAAAACAAAATGGTTTGTAGACACTCTAGTTACTTTAGTTGCAAAATGATACCAATTCATCTTTTACGATTGATGAATGAGTTCGGCTCGGTTATTATACACTTTCAATCTTTTATTCTTAACCAGGATACATTCTATTTGACGGAAAGCTCTTTCAGATGCAAAACAGCTTAGTTTGATTCATTCAAAACATTCGATGCAAAACTACAAAACACATGTTAAATTTACAATCTTGTCATTAACAGTAGTTTGTATATCTGAATAACATTTTTCAATTTATAGAAAGATGCAAAACTGTAGACTTATTGTTTTTTTTTAATATTGTTAAAACTCTTCGTTATCTAACTGTTTGTAGGTTTAACCGACTTTAAAATGTTTACCCTGTGAGTATAACATACAGAGGAAATATGTCCTACCTCTTTAATGCATTCGTTGCAATTTTTGCTTTGACTAGTATCATTTCTTCAGGAGAACCCAAACCAATGTTCGAAAAGCTTTTATGTATAAAGATGTTTTGAAAAATTCTAGCGCAACACAGTTTGCATAAATATTTAAATATTGATATTTTTTGTTCTCATTTAATCAGCCTATGTGTGATCTCCCCGGATTTTGTAGGGTCTGTTTTGATCATTCTTTAGTTTTCGATATTGTGTTTATCTTTTCATAATTTTCTTTTTTTTTTTGGTCGTGTTTTTGTTTGTTTTTGACTTATGAATTTGAATATCCCTTTGGTATCATCTACCTCTATTCTCAACATATACTATCAATATAATATGTACCGTATCGACATTTTTACATCGAATAACATCTACATTTTTGGTGGATGCAAAATACAGACTTACAAATAATTTTGAAAAAATATCTACTATCAAGAATGACAGTACTGCCTTACAAAACGTAAACCCGAGTTGTAAATTGCTATTGTTAATTTTACGTTATTTTTGCAATGTCTTACCTTATATTAAATAATTATACAAGATGAACGTTTCTCATAGCCACAATAGCATCTCATATAAAGACGCTGATGCAAACGTCCATGACGCATTTCCTTTATAATGTAGGGTTGGCAAACACTTAGTGTGTGATAAAATTGCCGAACTGGTTTTCGGATTTTACAGTGACATTCAGTTTCATAGAAATAATAATCTAAAAACGTTATGCACTTGTATCTAATTGAACATACGTTGCTTTCATGATCGTAATCATCATAAATATCATCAAATTCAGTACACGTTTCATTGTTTGCCATTTTCTAAAATCAAATATAATAATCTTAAAGTCATCAAAAGGGATCCGTTTCGATATATCCTGGTTAACTCTATGTTATGATAAGCTGTTACTGCTGTATGACTTTTATACAGACACATGACTTGTGTATTTAAATATCTCCTCCTACTTAAGTTAAATTGATTCCGATGAAAAGTAAAGAATTGCAAACATGACTTGAAATTTTTTGGCATAGACTTTCATTTATATCTTCAAATAATAATTCCTGGATGTTATAGAAGAACAATTTATTTTAAGAAGTCTACCCTCAACTACAATCATTAATATCAGAGAGTAAGATGTCATGAATTCATATCAGCAGGTTAAGTACCTTGAGTTTATTTCGTTATACGCGAGCATGTTTTGATATGATATTGAGTTTTTATTTTGCTATCTATAAATCGATATAAAGAAATGATTTTTATGTACTGATTTTTTTACGTTCTTGTTTGGTATATTGCAGTGTCTGTTGTTATATCTTAATTGATATTAGTATCTAAAGAATCTGGTTGAAATAGCATCGATGCCGCGATTTTTGCTTTGATTTTTTGAATATTAAAAAGAATTCTAGTTTTTAAAGTTAACGTGTTATCGTTAGATTCTGTTCACTAGTTGTATTTTACTGAATGAGGCTTTCTGTTCAATTGTCTTATTTTTGTTCGAACAGTTCTTAATATCTCAAAATGATGACTTTTAACAAAGTTTCTTCTCCTTCCTTTGTCACATCTATACTCTATGTACTTAAAACATATCTGTACACATGACATTTGGATCTTTGCTATATATCATTCGATATTAATAAGTACACACTATTCAGATATTTCAATTGACTCATTTCATGTCACAACCGCCTCATAAACATATATCATGGATCAATCGCGCCATTGCGTAATGAAATCTGCTCGAAATTTCCAAATGACAACTATCTAAAAATACCTTAATAATTTCCATTACAACCAGGAGGTGATACTACTGTTTTTTACGTTTTTAGAATTAAACAAAAGGCATAGAACTTTTTTTTGTGATATACAACTTGAATTTTTATGTTTTTTATCTAAATATATATTTTAAACAAACGTCCAGTGTAAAATCCAGGATTAAAATTGGGTACACAAGATACGCGTTTTGTCTACAAAAAAACACATCAGTGACGCTCGAAGAAAAAAATGCAAAAAGGCAATCAAATGAAGAACAAAACTATAAACTACTGCCTTATAAGTGGGAGGTTCGTTTAGCTATGAAACCCAGTATGAACTACCATTTTATTCTAAAAAAGTCAGTTATTTTCCGTTTGTGTGGTTGACTCATGTAGTTCTAACGTCAGTTTATAAGGACTTCCAATTTTTTATTTAACGTTTGAGTTCGATATTCTTTTAATAGTATTTTCTACTGAAACATTATTTATAAATTTAATTGGCAAAGGATAGAAAAAAAAGATTCATAAATATCAATACTGGTTATTTTTTTTAACAGAAAGTAGATCATAGGTTCTGTACAATACTTCTGTAATCTCTTCAAACCAAAAGCAGACAGAAATGAATAAGGCCAATGAACGGAATAAAAGCCATAGGTACAAAACAATCGTAAAAACCAAAATCTAGCAAAGCCATTGTCCAATGGATGCTAGGTTTGAAAAAGAAGTAAAATAAACAGTACCAACTTGTTCCTGATTTTATATTATACACGTTCCATTATACATAGCTATAGTTATAAAGGTAAATCATTACTATAACATGAATTAAGATAATTAAATATTCATGACATACAGCAAATCAAAAGTCACAGTTATAACAGAGATACTAAATGGAACAAACCAAACGAAGCAAATGTCTACAATATTTCCGAAATAATTTATATTGTAAATTAAATGATTCCTTACTGTAAGTCATATTGACAGGTATTCCTTCTCCGATTAAATAATTAAATACAAATCATAAGTTGTTTCGTTGCAAAGAATCATCCGGTTGTATCAAGCAAAAAATTTACTTTAATACTTAGAAATGTATGTTCTCCATAAAATAATGAACAAAAAATATACTTGTATTTAAACACTTTTAAGGCTTTCTGAGTTATTTTGTATGATCATCTCTAGATCCTCTTGCATGTGTCTCCCTATACTTGTTTACTAGGAACCAGATAATAACGACCAATAATCCTACTCCTACTACGGGTATTCCTACAGCAAGGGCGATTATTCCTCCGGTAACCATTATAAAATATTCAATTTAAAAGAATAAACGGTTGTTATTCTGCGTTAACAATGCACTGTTAGATAAACATATCAAATTATATACTTCGTTGGTAACCTATTGATTGGACTGTTTCATTGCAACCAGATAACAAATTTGTACAAATCATGAACAAACTAAGCCTATATAACTCATGGTTTTGGTAATATCTTTTTCTAAAAATACATAAGCTTAGCGAAAAAAACAGAACAGGTGGTTAATTTTGTAAATTAATTTAGAGATTGTTAAGAACCTAGGTTCAAACTTCCTCAGGTAAATTATTCCGTAGCTGTACTTACTCAACTTAAAGGGGTTTGTTTCCCATTAAGCTCCTCAAATGTTAATTTATGTATAGATATCTAGAGCTTACAATTTTAGGGTTTGGGCCTACCTGGTTAAGAGAATCCAGAAAAGCTCTAAGGATGCATCAAATTTATAAATTGTTATTTTTATGAAATATTTCGTCCTAAACATGCATGCAATTTTTGCCACTAGGCGTTAAGCATCCAGCAATCAATCAATCATCTAAATATTAAATTGAATTTATATAGTTTTAACATTCAATTATCAAGTTAATATGGTTGTCTCCTTATCTTCTTAAAGATATATATGACACCACACACACACGGTCTAGTTAATACGATATTTAGTCTTTATTTTTTCTTCCAAAACTTGTTTTCACAACGTTCACGTCAAAAAGGTAAAGCATTATGAAAAAAATCAAAAAAAAAAAAAAATTAAATCAGTGAGAGTCGTTAGATATATTTCTATTTTGTTTAGACAGGTGAAAAGGATTTTATAAAATGAATTTACCGAAAAATTTGAGACTGTCCTTACTGTGGTGAATAGTTTTTATTTTTGACAATTCCGGTTAAACAGCTGACCGAAAGAAGAAGTGTAGGTAGTCAACGTGTAATGTAAAAAGCCATATGTAAATTGTTCATTTCCTCAAGTTAGGAACCTTTCTTTTCGATTGTAGTTTATAGTTATATATTAGTATTTTGTCCTTTATAGAATTTGATGTGTGTAACATAATTTTTTGTCGCTTATAAATTTTTTAATACTTATTTTAAATCGTTTAGTTAAAAAAATGTCTAAATCAACTAAGGTGAACTATACCTGATCTACGTATAGATATGTTAAAGGAAAATACCTAAAATTAAAACTTACTTAGAGCTGGACATGTATTCCTGACGTGCATTGCAACTACATGTATTAGTAATTATAAATGCTTTATGCTGCCTATATTTACGAAAACAGTTAGCATGATGATGGATGAAAACTCCGTCCTTATTCATATCCGAAATCTTCCGAAAATTAACATCTCTATTTGAGACATAGGAATATTGGTTGCAAAAGCAATGTCTAAGAAAGATATAGTAAGTCTGGTCATTTCTGATATAACATTTTCTTATCATTTTACACGTATTACTTAAGTGCTTTTCAAATACACTATCATCATCATTTTTGTATCCATAAAACTCATCTATACTTATTGAACTGTGCATATCAAAATTTTGATTGTATTTCAAATTCGGTACTTTTAACTAATACTTTTATAAAAGGAAACATATGATTTATATCTTCTCTATCATATAAATATATATCTGTTTTATATGTTTTATATTTAAATTCTGGAATTTCTTTTAAGTATTATTACACTCCCAATCGTTTTGTTACACGTTTTTTCCTAGAGGTTCTGACGTGTTACGTAAATCAATACTTGTAATTTAGCGATGAATGTCAACGAAAGCTGAACTTTATTTGTTAAATCTTAACTCATTTTTTAAGATACACTTCTTAGCCATCCGTCGCGCCGTCAATATTTAAACTGGGCTTTTATGTCTTTATTTAACGCTCTACTTCAATACACATTTTTATTAAAAAAAATATGTAACAAGTATCCATTCCTACTTTAATATATGTGTCGTCTCGTTTTCAGAATGTAGAAATGTCCGGAAAAATGTATTCATTTTGTTTTTACTGAATTAATACTTCGTTTTGGGCAATGGTTAAATTTGAACCTCATGTCTTGTTTAGTTACCAATCTGATTATACGGTTATCTTTAATTATGCTGTACTTATTAGGACACCATAATTAAATTATCAAAGGTATCTATAGGTATGTCTTTGCTATGGGTGCGCGATACATCTCTTGTGGTTTAGCTTATAATGCTTGAAAAACATTGTTTTCATATGCAGGAAATTTTGACTCAAAATCAATAATACATCCAGTTATCCTCTAGCCTGCCAACCTATTTTTATCTTCTATTGATAAAACATCATTTAAAACGGAGGACCTTACAGATGATCACATTGGTCATTTCTAAGATTTAAACACATTTTCTTAGTCAAAAAGTCACAAAACTTATCTTACAAACTATGATCTTCCAACAGTGCAGTTTAAACGTGAATTAAAAAATCAAAACATATAATACATTGTGTACAATAACTTTAGCTTTCGTAAACATAGGATTTTCCAGACTCTATACCGCTTATCACAATATGGAAATTGAAATATGAGAATAATAGTTAAAACTGTATATATTGATAGAACTCACATCCAGGTCATGAAATTACATAAAAGAGGGGCGAAAGATACCAGAGGAACAATTATAATAATTATAATACCAGCCAATATGTTGAAAAAATAAATAAGATGTCGTGGTATGATTGCAAAAGCGATAACTATCCTCGTAGACCAAATGACGTAGATATTTGACGATTTCGGTTTTAGTCGAAGATGTTTCAATATTAGGGTTCTCCAACGTATTATACTTTTGGCTTTCCAACTTTTTGTTTCATGTGTTCCTGATGCAGATGTTTCCTGAAAAATGTGTGAAATGACCTGGAAACATGCCAGAAATATTTGTTTTTTTTATCATCTTACTTTTTAACTCACATTAGAAATTTTATGTATCTGGATTTACTTTCATAAGTAACGCTCGAAATCAAATAGTTGAAAGACAAAATGGAATATTCTGATGTTATGCATATATGGATTTCACATTTTGAGAACCTGACATAAAAAAAAGATAAACACCATTCATTTATTAAGCCGTAAATAGTGAACAAGATACATTAACAGTTATGTTTTATACAACAGAAAGAGTTCATGTAATCATCTTAAATGGGCACTAGCTGTCAAATTCATGTTCACTGATTTGACTTAAATTCCCATATTTGATTTATAACCATGTAAAACATTTATCAAAATTATAAAAAATCTAAAATAAACAATTTACAGGGCACGGGCTTGATAATTTGTAGCTTCATGTTGTGTGTATTGTAGTTTTGGTGCCATCAAATTAACTATCGAGTTAACCTCCGAAGACCTCTGATGTCATATAAGCGATATAAACATAAATATAGATGTAAATAGAAAGCGAACTCGTGCAGTTAGATTTTTTTTCTAGGTCTGTTTAATTTCATATTATAGATTAAAAATATATGTTACTCATCGTTTTTACCTGTATAAGAATGATTTTTTTTGTGGATCGAATCAGTCAATCAAATGATTTACCTTTGTTTCACTTTCAATGTTGACATTATTTTCCTTTAAATAACAGAACACGCACAAATCATGCGTTATCAATCCCTAGCTAAGGGGTTAAATTGAGTTCACTTGCAAGTGAATAGTTCATCATCAATGTTTCTTAGCTTAATTTGACAAAATTGAACCATACTGGCTGCTAAAAGCGAATTGTTATTTCACTATTTCACTTTCGTTAATGATTGAACAAAAAAAAATCGTACTTTTGATTTTTTTATATCTCGTAGCTAGTGCCCCTTTAAGAATATAAATAGCTATTGTTAACAAACGAATTAGTTGATTTATACACTGCGGTATGGCAAATGTACTAATACTCAGTTTTTCGAAGGTAGAAAGACCATCAATTGTTTTAGTTTCCTATTATTATTTCTTGAATATCACAAAATCTTTATATCTTTTCATCTTCTAATAAACATATTTGTCTTTTTCTTTGTGGTACATCTTTCTTTAGTTGTCTGCAATGAAGAACAATAAATCTATATCTATCCATATAAAATTCGAATAAACTAAATCGCTGATGGTGTTTAAAAAAAATCTACGGTTCAAAAAACAGAACCATTTATTTAATGGTAGAATTTAAGGAGTTCAATGCAAATTTGAATATAGCATTGTATGCTAACTTTACAATTTCTAAATAATGTACTCCTATTTATATAATCTGTGCAAATCACAAAACGTTCAAACCAAAAACATGTCAACTTACCTAGTCTATTATATGATTTGTTAACACTTCCACAATAGCATATCATCAGAAGATGTATAACTTTTCTACCGCGTTTATATCTGGATTCTTTATGTTCTCTACAATAAGGACCAACGTGGACAAATTGTCGAACTGGTCGCTGCAAGCTGCAGTAGCAATTTAACTCAAACAAGTAGGCACCGTCATATGTTGGGTGCCTACCTTTGTTCTTTATACAGCATGCCTCATCCATATGATCTTCTGTATATTCATAGGTTTCTTGGGTATCAGTAAAATTAGAATCCATTGATTTCTATTTCTAGAAGTATTTGAAAATGAGCAAATTGCATTTGGTTTTGTTTCTTTGTAAAACCAAATCTATTATATATCCCGTTGTAACAAGATATAATCATGTTAAGTCTTCAGCTCCTCCTACTATTCAATTATGTCGGCGCAGTCGAACAGCATAGAATTTTAAAACGTAATAGACCCACCATTTTTTCTTAAAATGTCCTGTATCAAGTCAGGAACATGGCTATTGTTATCTTGTAGTTCGTTTCTGTGTGTGTTGCATTTCAGGGTTTCTGTTGTGTCATGGTTCTCCTCTTATAGTTGATGTGTTTCCCTAAGTTTTAGTTTGTAACCCGGATTTGTTTTTTCTCAATCGATTTATGAATTTAGAACATTTTGATTATATACCATATCTTTGGTTACTAAAACATTTCTATTACTATGATTTTCTAAATTTATTGTAGTGGAATCAATTTTTTTTAAAAACAGAATAGGTAAGGGAATGAATCATTGTCACGGCTATTGAACAGTAACACATTAAAAAAATAAAACATTAAATATATGTGAGGCAGAACAAATGATCATTTTTTGTTTTAAGATAAACCTTTATTTCACAATATCACAGATCCGATGTTAGTACAAAATTTTAACGATATGCTATATATGATATGAAATACTAAACACGTACGAAATGGTATATGCAGCTGTCAAATGTGATACAATATGGCTTTGTTCATGTGAACAAAATGGAAAGTTTAAGGTACGAAATTGTCATTTTGGGTACAAATAGCAATGGTACAAAATCACTAGCTTCCTTGGTATTTAAATTTTATCAAGATTCAATAGACATATACTCTTTACTACAATAATAACAGATTTTTTTCAATAAATACTTATTCTTTTAATTATAACAAATACAAATTAAAACGTCAATTGAAAACGTTGGTGTACTTTCGAAAAGTCTTTTAAAAATTTGTTCTTTTTTCCATCTTCACTTTGTAAATATCTGTAAAACTGTGCAACTATTGGTTCAACCATATTTTGAATACATTTTTTTAATCTAGATCACAGCCTTTAAATGTGCCGAAAGAAATCAAACTCCGGTTCAGTTGCAGATGAAGTAAATATTTTTTGGATGGTAACTCAGCTTCGTCTTGGCATTTGTCAACACAACATTCATTTTGAACTTTTTGTCACGCTTCTTCATTATACCTGTAAATATGAATAATAATTAGGAAAAGTGTATGTTATATTTGAAAATGCAAATAATTGTAAGTTAAAAGAGAGAGAAATTAACTAATTAGAAATCAATAATCATAAGTTCAATAAAAACATAAAGCGCCATGACTTAATTTAAAATGACTTTTGTAAATTGTAACTTGGATGGACAGTTGTCTCATTGGCACTCATACCACATCTTCCTATATCTATAAAACAAACAACAATAACAAAAATTTACACAGAAATATAATTTAAGAATAACAGTACTGTAGTTGATGATGATGCTACCGTCAATTGGCGATTTGACGGTCGCAAATGCAGTTTAACTGGCGACGCGTAGATCTTACGGTAACTTTTAGCCAATAAAGACAATTGTTGCATAAAAATTTCATTAGAATAAAGTTTTGACATATCGACAATCTTTTAAAAGAAGATATGAAAAAATACATGCGGCTAAAAATCTTTCATTCGACACTGGTCATTTGCTTCTCTCCTAAACCGTAATTAATTACTACTTCGTCATTGCAAAACATTTTTTAAGTTGACATATTAGTAATAAGAGTAACATCTAACCAAATGACGTTCTCATTTGAAAACAATAGTATTTACATGCGCAATAATCGGAAAGCGTATGTCATCTTATCAGTTTACAGTGTAATGAGATTGGTTTTCAACAGGTTTAACCCTTTATTTTCTTCAGCAAATACATGTACTAAGTTAGGAATACGATAATTGTTTCCCGTTAATTAAGCTGAACGTTCGGTTTTGTCAGTTTTTATGGACCATCTCTTTTTAATTTACTATGGAGTTTGATAATTTTGCCATACGTTTTTAATCAAAAAGAAGCAATTACTGAATAATATGATAAAGCAGAAACAATCCTATTTTCAGTTCACTATTTTTTGTTATTCGCTATACATACAATGTTTTGTATTCTTGATACTGTAGTTGATATATAAGAAAAGAATAATATACCTTTTTACTTGTAGCATTATCTTGAATATGAGTATGATTCATCTCTACAATAACAACGTCGCAAAAATTTCAGCTTGAAAGGTGATACTTTCTTCGTATCGTATGTACAGTGTTTTCCGATAATGTGTAGGTCTATGCTTTCACCTAGATAAGTTGATCCTTGTTCCTTAAACTCTTTATGAACGTTTCTCTTTTTCAAACCGCATTGACATACCATAAAAATAGCAATAACTTTGTATTTGTCATTCACGATGCCAATTTCTGTTTTTATTTGACAATCTAAGCCATGTGTTTCTATATCCATATTGTCACTGGTAAACTCGTCAATATTGGTTGGATTCGACATATTAATATTTAAAAATGTAGAACGGATTGTAAAGCATTGATTGATAAGACTGAAAGTTGCATGTTAAATAAGAAGAAATGTACAGTTTCATTGGATGTTATTAATACATTTCATGAAATTCCAGAATCCGTTTAAAGAACCTCAAATTTTGTCTGGTATGTGGGAATTATTCGCAGACTATAGATGACACAACAAATTTATAAATAAGAATTACCTTAGTTTGATTAAATAATGGCAATTGAATGATGAAATAACAGGAAAAAGGGACACCATGCAATAACTGTATCACGAAATTGTGTTGTCAAGTTACCTGAGCGTGTTAGTATGAAGCCTTTTACTATCTCTTTTATGTCGGTTCATATGTGTGTGTGATACAAGGCAGAACCAAACCCATGTAATGCTTTATAATAACCATCATCGATAAATGTTAATCATATATTTCGTCAAAAAACATGTAGATATTAATTAACTTAATAACTTAATTCATCTTTAACCCCAACCCGTCCCCAAAAAGAATTACTCCGGATCCGGATACTATTGAAAGGTACATATAATTACTAAATCCTATGTAATTTAAGTTAACATGTTAAACAACATTCATTCAAAACATACTACTAGTTTATGTTTCAAACCTGACATTTAAACATGTGAATATATGTATGTGTAAGTGTATAAATTATTTTTTGTATATATAAGAATACAAATAATATGGCTGTGTTTAAATATCTAAATCAATTGCAGTCACGTCAAAATAAACTAAGAAGAATTTCCTTTACCTGAACTATTTTTAACTATGTTATTTGTAGGCAATGAAGAGGAAATTTCTACCAGGGAGTGACGTGTTTGTCAATAATAACTGTAAAATGGCGAATGCTAGAGATCCTGTAAAAAAGAAATGTGATATAGATGATAATATAACATCACATGGCGCCTCTAAAGTTGTTGCAGTAGAATTAAATAAGAAACTACCAAAAGCGAAGGAAAACGAACAGGACTCTATGCCGTCTGATGGTAAGTTAAAATATAATTCGTCGTTGTATTGTAATACTCTAAAGTCGTTTGCACCATGAATGAAAAAGTGATTTTATTTTCATCTTTCTTAATTCGTATGCATAAATCATAAAATTTTGGATTTTTTATCAATAAAATATTTGAAGATATAAAGTATTAATGTTCAAAATCAATGCAAAAATTCTATCGATGGAACTTCCTTGAAGACCAATCGGTGTAAACAGTAAACAACTGCACATTGTATTGTCATGTCAAACACCTAGGGAAAAAAATATTTTTACGTAATATTGATATCGGCAGGAAAATAAAACAAGAAAATAAAAATGATAACAAATTAATCTAAAAAGGCAAACGATATAAAAGTAGTAGTCAATAGCAGCCTAATTGGCATGATAATGAAACATCAACCTCTTATATGGAATATGTTGGGATTTGTAACCGTAAAAAAAATGATTAAGTACGACTACAAGACCAGCGTGAAAATAGTAAATAAAATACAAAAACAAAAACAAAAGCATAAGATTTAGTACATCAATTTTAAAATTCTATATTGTCGTCATTTAACTATATATATTTATATTTCGTGTGATATACACTTTTTCTTCCTTGTCTGGCTATCTGTTCCTGTTAACCTTTACTGCATTCTACCAATAATCTTTATGTTCACATCAGTGATGATCGCAAGTGCTTTATAACATATACATAAGTCATCATCTTAGTCCAGGCTGAAATCTGGAAAAAAAGTCACAAACCAGAAGAGGACAGACTAATGATGGACAAACTGAGTTTATCAAATGCTATCAGCAGCATAAATGTTCTATAACAGCCAACCAAATTAAATTTAAAAACCAAATGTGTCACTGTTAATACAGGGTTTCATTTGATTTCAGATGAGGATGGTTATCCAGATTTACATCTTGATCCTGATGTTATAGCTCAACGGAAGAGAGACAAAAACAAAAAAGAAAATATTGAGATGTCGAACAGTTAAACAAACAGAATGACTAAAGACTGTAAAGAACTTTTATGCAAATCTTAATACCGCAGTTATTATATTGAAACTGAATAGATACGTTGTTCAATTGAATCTGAAAACAGCGTTTAGACGTTTTATCATTGAAATGACCTTCGTGGTAACTATATAAAACTTTTTATGTACATTATAGATGTATGAAAACTTGCCTTAAATATGTTAGCATATGCATTTTTTATTGTATCCAATGAGACATGAAACATGTATATATTACGAAATTTGTTCATTTTGTGGTTTTTGTATTACCATATCATAACACATTCACGTGTCTAAACCAAGACCTTGTGTGCGCAAGTTCAAATATCATCTATTGATTTTGTATTGAAATTTAAAGGACTAAATTACAGCATGTATGAATGTATGATTTAGGCCGTGTTCACATTGATCTAAACTCGGTGTTGTGTTTGTGTAATTCACACGTAAACTAAACACACTTACGTTCCCATTGATACAACTCAATGTTTACATGTAGTTTATATCATGTTTTGTCTACATGCAGTCGATAGTCAATGTAGGCCTTGTGTGGGTCAAGTGTACACAAAACAAGGTATTAAGAACATGAATTCTACCATGTATATTTAAAGAAGAAACGTTTTTTGAATAAAATTGATATTTATCACAATTATTAATAAAGTTCTTTACTGAATTGATTGTCTAAACTCAATATATTGCTTTGTTATAAAAAAAACTAAAGGTAGCTTTATCAAGACTCAAAGCATCATCATCACCTTTGTCAAGACTCAAAGCATCATCATCACCTTTGTCAAGACTCAAAGCATCATCATTGCCAAACTCATAATTCATTTGAAAATGTCTTCCCGAATCGACTGGACGTACACAGAAATATTTGCCACTGGTCTTTACTCAATCAACGATTCACTCATAAATACATTACTAAAAAGAGTGTGCGGTAAATTGTATCGTTTGGTTAGTAACTCAGATCCGGTAAAATGCACTTAGAAATAAAAAAAAAAGCATTAATTTGTAATGTACGTAACGATCTGTTATTTTTTAGCCAAAGTTTTTTTTTCGCGACCAAATTTATTAAGTTTTTAAAGCAATCAATCAATTTTTTTTTCTTCAAAATTTAACACTATAAGGTATGGGGGAAATCTGCATTCAGAATATTTTTTTTTTATCATCTGCTTGACCAGAATATTTTTTTTTTTAAGTTAAATGGTTGTTCTCTAAGCACGTTGCTGCGGCCTACGTTTTTTATTGGGTAATCGAGACATCTTTAGTATCTTAAAAGTACTGCAAATCATCGAAATGGCTTTCATAGCTGCTAGAAAAGTTTCCAAGAAATTTGAATTCGATTCTATGTAATGAGCATTTAAATGACATATAGTTTACAAGTGTGAACAAATCTCATGTACAGGTAATTAAACCAGGTGTATAGATGTGAACAAATTTAATGTGAAACCAGTGTACATTACATTAAACTAAATGTAAACATGTTTACTGTACATGACGTTTGGTGTGAACACGGCCTTAGACTAGTTTTATTGATTACAAATAAAATTTTGTACAAGAGTATTTTTCTTAATTAAAATTTCACTAGAAACATACTTTTCAAAGCAATATTTATTCCATCATCTGAAGTTTTATGATTATGGAAATAGAACGATAAGAAACTACTAACAACAGAAGAAGTAACTATGCATATATTTTATTCAGGTTATATGTATATAAATCTATATATAGCCCGAATAAGAAACTAATTGTCCGCTGTTTCATTTAAATGAGAAATTGAAAACGCATTGTCAATTCTAAAATTGGTTTACTTGTCATTTTTAAATCTGATGATAATTTGTAAATTTAACGGTCGAAATTCTCGCGGGGAACAAAACGAAGCAAATAACATTAACTGTACCATGTTTTGCACCAGATTCGCATTTCGATATTAAACGTCTCTTCAGTGATGCTCAGGTCAAAATACTTGAAAATCCAAAGCTTATTAAAAACATCCGAAAGGTAAAAAAAATAGTATAGACACAGTCAGGCTAGTAATCAGAGAACTGATCAAAATTGAACAGGAAGTTAATATTCTTGTTGTTGCGTTACATTCTTTGGTTAAAAAATATTTGAAAGAGACAATTTATAAATGTTATACATAAGGAAGCACTTCCTTCGTACACTTTGTAATAGTAATTCAACAAAAGAAAAATTTTACCGATGCTGATCTAAGTAATGTGTTCACTATCAAACTATTAAACCATATGCAAATTTCGACAAATACTAAATTACAAATTATCTATTAAACTCAACCGTCAAACGTCAAATCGTTTGGGAATCTAACATAGTAGTCGATTCAAGATTTAAAACACTGTCAAAAATTTATTATTATTATTATTATTCTAATATTTTTCTAATAATTTTCCTCTCCCAAATTAACTGTTCGTGTTTAAAGATCGAAATTTTAGATAAATAGATGACAATGTTCTATTTATTTTATGTGAATACAAACATTTTAAACTTTTGAATCTTTTGAAACTTATTTGTATTTCACTATAAAATCATCTACATGATTGTACAAACAAACATAATGCACAAACAAAATATAAGAGATTTTCCAAATCGAATTTTCCTTGGAGTTCGGTATTTTTATTATTTCACTTTTAAATCAACCAACATTAATGAACTTATATGAAACATTCACTAATATAAAGATACATTTTGAACTGTTCATATATCAAATAAAATTCAAATGAGTGAAAGAGTAACTTCCCTTGAAATGTAGACTTCCGGTAAATTAGAGTTACCGTACTTGCAATAAGCGTATCAAAGAGCCTGTAAATCAGCGTTAGGGAAAGCCGCTCATTTTGAAAAAGAATGAGACAGTCGAACAAAAACAATTGAAATAGTATTTGAATATGATATAAAGCTTCCCGATAGCGATTGCCATTCGACGTTTTCGCAGTTCCACCAATGGATAAGCTAAACAATGTAATTAAATGCCGAAACACGGCGATTGAGGCGATAGATCCGAATTGTCACAATGTAATTTAAACATAAAACAGATAATCAGGTTGCGGACAACCTTTCAAATAGGTAATAGTTCCCAAAAAGAGTAACTAATCCTCAAATGAGGGATATCTCTCTTTTATTAACGGAACTTTTTTTCTAGTGCTCTGTTTATACTTGAAATGACACACAACGGGAGGGTTGAGATCTAAAAAAAACCAACATGTTTAACCCTGCTGCATTTTTGAGCATGTCCCAAGTCAGGGGTAACACGAATGACCGAATAACACCGTTATTATCCAAATAACACTTGTAATGACCGAATAACACTTGAAATTTTAATATTAGCACATATTGGTGACTTTTAAACATTGATTATTAAATAATATTATATTATAAGTGTATTTTATAACTTAAAAATGATTAACAGAAAGCAGGTAACTTCATAAAGATCGTTTTAAATTTAGTGTGCACATCCAACATGGCGACCATTGTGATTTCCTTGGTCGCCATGTTGGATGTACACACTATATTTAAAATAATCTTTATGAACTTACCTACTTTCTGTAAATTATTTTTAAGTTATAAAATACATTAATAATATACTATTATTTTTTAATCAATATTTAAAAGTCACCAATATGTGCTAATATTAAAATTTTAAGTGTTATTCGGTCATTACAAGTGTTATTCTGATAATAACGGTGTTATTCGGTAATTCTAGGTACCGCCAAGTCAGTCCTCAGGCCTTTGTTAGTGTTGTATGATTTTTAATTTTAGTTTCTTTTATATATTTCTGAGTTTAGTATGATGTCCATTATCACTGAACTAGTACATATTTTTGTTTAGGGGCCAGCTGAAGCACTCCTCCAGGTGTGGGATTTTCTTGCTGTATTGAAGACCAATTGGTGGCCTTCAGCTGTTTTCTGCTCTTCTGGGCGGGTTGTTGTCTTTTTGACACATTCCCCATTTCCATTCTTATTTTTTGTATTCATGAAAAAGACGAATAGTTCTAACCTGCTTTACTGGAAAGTAACAAGCCTGAGCAATATTCGAAAAAATTTACAATTTTTAAGACTTTTAACTTTTTTTTTAAACCAAATATAAAAGTATGGTGCTTTGCCTTTCGAAGTATTGCTCTGTTTTCTTAAATATATTGTGCCATTAAAAATGATTTTCAATAAAAAGACTTGATTAAGAAAATTTTGTTTTTACCACTATAAAATGATTACTCAATTGAGGGAGTGTTTCTAATTTCGGGAATACTTCCCCATTTTGATGGTTGTCCCAACATGGAATACAGAATCTAGAAAACAACAATTCTGGATTATACAAGTCTCATAACAAATATAGCTAGATTTAGCTAAAAAATAATTATCTCCCTTTGATATATTTGATAGAAATTTCTGCTTTATTATAAGGTACAGCATTATAAAAAAATCTGAAATTATTTCAAAAAGCAAATGACAATATTTTATAAGAAGAAAAAAAAAAGCTCTGTACCAATCAAACACAGATCATACCAACCAATTAATTTGAACAAAACTTGAATACTGTTCACTGTTGCCCCTCCTTGAACCTACCACAATTTAAAACAGTAATTCCGTAGGAAAGATTCAAAAGCTGGTCAATTAAGATTTGATAGAACTACTATTTTAGGCATGTGTTACCTGTTAAAGTGGACAAAGTCTATTACAAATTTTATTTTCATTGTAATGCTTTCATTATTCTTTTTGGTACTCAGATATGCAAATTTGTAGGAAATCATATGGCTTACATGGCAGTGTCTGTCAATAGAACAGGAACAGGGTAATGCACAAGCTCATTTGTTTAGAGAAAAAAAGATAATAATTTTGAGTTTCTTACTGTAGCATATTGTTTTTATGAATCTACTTTTATTGAGGACTTCTTCCTTCTACATGAATAATAAACAGTTTACACAGAAATATGTCTAGCCTTTTTATAACTTTGATAGTACATCTATAATGATTATTGATAATTCAAAATTGAATGTTAATATTTAAACATGCAAACTATGCAAAACATTCAAAATCAATGGCCCATGACTGAACAGAGGGTTGACAAAAAACCCTGTTCTATGAGAATAGCCCAACTCAGAAGATAATACTGGGAACACCCATGTTTAACTGGGTTTATAGACGGTAATACTAGGCAATGCATGCATGACATACTGGATATGCTGGCCTTAATCTCCAAGAGGTTTTACTGACTAATTACATTGTACAATAATTTGAGAGAGCGTTGGTCCAGAAACTAGACAATCGTGAACAATTTGCTTGAAAGGATTCAAAGATAACCCTTATAAAAATTGTAATGCCTTTCTACCTTAATTGATCAAAGTCAAATAATTAAATATTTTATACTTTTTTTAATAATACAACATGAAATTGAGTAAAAAAGTAGTCAAAATATGTAAGGAAAATGACAATTCTAAAAGCAATCAATTAAAGGCAGGGTTTGTGAAGCTGATTTTGTTACAGGACAAGTTTATTATGGGTAGAGTCAATAGGGAGTAATTTCTAGGACCCAAGGTCACAATTAATTAACAAGTGCAGTCTGCACCAAAATCTTTACCAACTACTAGTCTGAAGACCATATTCAAACAGTTTTCATATGTGTTTAAACAAATATTTGCATAAACTTACTAGTCTGATTACAATTTTACTAGTCAAGGGCATCGGGCTAGTGGCTATAAATGGTGTAGACTGCAAGTGTAAACAAGTAAATGCGGAATGCACAAATTAATCCTATAAATAATGCTACACATGTTTCTTACATGTATTTATGATATTTTCTTTAATAAGTTCTTGATATGGTTCAAGCATTGATTAAATGAGAACTTATCATACTAAGGCTATATTTCATGGTACAATTATAAGGGCTTTACTGTCAAAATTAATCTGAATTAGGCCATGTTTTTTGTCAAGCCTATGACTTTTGTCACAAAAAGCAAGACACATGGATATTGATGCAGTGGTTGCATTGTCTAATTACTTAAAAGTTTTTAATATTTCAGAAGGTAGAAGACCTGGATACTTCATACTTTAATTTGTATATAGACACCTTATATACATGTAATGTAGTGTCTGTCATATGTCCATTGTCCTTGGCCTCATTTTCATGGATAAGTGACAACTTGAAAAAGAGATAAGATATAATTTGTAATGTTAATTTCCCTCTTATTATGAGAAATAGAATTAACTATATTTGGTTTGTACAAAATCTTCATGTCTGTCAGACAGTGTTCACTTGACTTCTACCTCATTTCATGGATCAGTGAAAAAGGTTAAGTTTTCATGGTCAAGTCCATATCTCAGAAACTAAAGGCAATAGGTGTACTATGTTTGGTATATGGAATGATTGTGAGGTGTACATTTCCAGCTGGTACAAATGTAGGTGTCATCTGACCTTGACCTCATTTTCATAGTTGAGTGATAAAAGTTAAGTTTTTGTGTTTTTGGTCTGTTTTTTTATACACTTTATAACAATATTAATAGGTCAGTTAAGTTTGGTGTATGAAATAATGTAAGCTGTACATTTCTGTTTGGCCAGTTTCTTATGACCTTGACTTATTTTCACGGTTCATTGGTCAATGTAAAGATTTTGTGTTTTGTGGGGTGTTTTTTTTAATGACAGTCTTGAATTTAATTTTTTTGACATAATTAATATTTAAATTAAATCTTTATAGATTTTTATAAAGCTTGGACAGAAGTTAATCTTTTTTTTTAATCTGTATTTTTCTTGAAAAATGGATTCACTTTTTAAGTCAACATTACACTTTTACACTGTGTTGCAGGCAAGACACAGGGTTCCACAAAACCTTACAAGCTTTTATAGTTTGTTCTTGTATTGTACTGATATACCACTAACTCAGGTTAGGGGGAGGGTTTGGCATCAACAAGTTTAACCCTGCACCATTCTGTAAAAACTCTGTGCTTGTCCGAAGACAGGAACATGTAATTTTGTGGTTGTTGTTTGTTGCTGTATATCATACATGTATTTGTTTTCTCGTTCAATGGTTTTGTACATAAATCATGCAGTTAATTTAGGTCTTTTATTGCTGAATATCAGTTTTTCATTTGGTCTCTGGTCTCACATTGGCAACTATATCAAATCTTATTTTTACATACAATAAAATTAGTACAACAATTCTTCAATCATGTTTATTCAAATGTAGAAGATGACTTAAATCTAGAGCACATATTATCATGATAACTTACAGCTACATTTTGTGAATGCTAAAGTTAACATATATGAACAATTCTCTAATTCTTACACAATTTATCTTTTTCCTGACATGTTGATTATTTATATTTAATCAATGTGTGGTTCTTTTGATCTCAGTTCTCTATTGGTCAAAATTTGATTGTGACGTCTAATTTTCTTTCTTTCCCATTGTGATGGCATGAAAAAAGGCAACTATGCCTGATGACGTCACATAGAAAGAACACATCTTTTTGTAGATCATTTGAAAAAAAGGAATAAGTTTGCCTGCATATTGTTCAAAAATCTTTATAGAAACAGATTCCAACACCAAATCTCGTATAATACAATATTTATCCACTCTCGACAGTTAAATTTAGCATATTTTAAACGCTCGGCCAGCCTCATGTTTTAAATTTGAAAATTTAACTGTCTCGAGTGGATAAATATCGTATCACACTCGATGCAGTGGAGAATCTATACTATGCTTTAAAAGCTCCTTTAAATTTCTCAGGTTTATCACATTAGCTTAAGACAATCATATTTTCAATTGTATCCATATTTTCTTTCTCTCAGATTTTACCATTATTTCAAGCAATTCTTGAGATCGGAAGTCAATTTCAGAATAAAAATGTTTGACAAGAAGCATGTTTGAAATAAAATGTGTTTGCCAATGTTTGCCCTCATGAACAGTTACAGTATATTTCACTTTCCTTGATTCAGAAAGTAGCAGTAATTGATGGCACTCTAATTTCAGATTTATCAAATTATCTTATATGGTTGTTATAATGTTTTATTACATTGTTTTGCACAAATATACAGTTATATGTAAATACTAAATAATTAAATTTTCTGCAATTGTTAATTTATGTATCTACAAATTTCTATTTCACAATGTGGCACAATTTATTATTATTTTTTTAAATATTTGAAAATAACCAGACTAATTTTATCAATTTAAATTCCAGTTTCATTGATTTTTCTATATATATATAGCTATATTTCATCAGTTTTATTTTGCAATTTTATCTTTAGGTTTTAAATTGTTCATTAATCAAAACCTGGGATTTCACATTGCCAATGACGTGGTATAAACACCTTGTTCTGATACACGATCTTAGTCAAATCTGTTTATAGATATTGGGATTTAGAGCCTATTTATAGTTTACAAAAATATTGTAAAGTCATATTTTTTAAGTTGACATATGTAAAAATAAGTTTGTATGTTATCGACACATTTTCAACTTGAAATTCCATTGTCTTTGTTTTGCTCTTTTGGGGTCTTACAGATGATTTTATATTTTGATTGCATGACATGGTTATTACTTCAAATAATAAACCTATTATTGAAGTTAAGTTATTTGTAAAAATATTATATGCAAGGTTGAAGGCATGTTAAAAAACAACTCATAAAAATGTCAAATGCTTTAAATTGCTATGATTTGTTATATTTAATTTCAGTAAGGAACTTGGTATGACTTACTTCTAATTACAATTTCAAAATTGAAACTAAGCTCTTTCTTTATTCTACAGCATTCATTATTATCTCATATTTCTGTGAAAGAATATATTATCTGAAGTACTTGATATATTGCTATATATGTAAAAGAACAAGTGAAATCTTATACTTTTTAGAAAATACAAAAAAAAGGGATTACATTTCTCCCAATACACAAGCTGTGACTTGAAATTTATGGTTTAAGTACATATATGTTAAATAATCTCTATCTCACACAATGATAACAATTTCTCTGACTAAAAAATATTAATGACATCAGAATCAGTGAAAATAACTTTTTTCTATCTTTATGAATTGTTGAAAACAGCTATACATTAGACCACAGAGCCAAGGATATTTTTAGCTTTTTATATCATAATGTAGTAGAATAATTAAGAAGATCAAGATCCTACTTAAAAGATTGGTTTCTTCAAAAACATAAATATGAACAAAGCTAGTTCATAGAGTTGAAATATTATTCTTTTCTTGTACAGTTACAAAACACATACAGATTTATTTACATGTACAAAGCCTCGATGCATATTGAGATTTTGTGACAATGAGAATTTAAGTATGTTCAGTAGTAATCTAAAATAAAATTAACAGTGTTTCAATTTATCTTGTATAATTCAAATTTTAATATCTGAATACAATTGATGCATTTTTCCTGTATATTTCTAAGATCATTTACAGAAATATAACTGTTAGTAACATTTGGTGTTATCAGTATTATAGTAACCTGGTTGGGACCAATCAAGTTTGGAAAAGAGGAATTATTCAGAGAACAAACCAAGAATTGTGCAGCCATTGCAGGAGCCATCATCATAAAGGTAATATTTGAAATGAACATTGCAAAAGAAATGTTAAGAAATGCGAAAGAACTAATAAGAAATTGTAATAAGAAAGTTTTAATATAATTCTAAATGTACATTAATACTGAGCATTGGTGTCACATAACATGTACAAGCTTTAATCGAATCTGTGCTTTAATATTTTATAGTGTGTCTTTTTATGTTGTAATGTTACACTACTGTCTCAGGTTAGGGTGAAGATTGGCACCTGTTTAAACGTTTAAACCCACTGCATTTTTATGCACCTGTCCTAAGTCAGGAGCCTGTTGTCCGGTGGTTGTCGTTTGTTGGTGTGGCTCATAGGTGTTTCTCGTTTCTCGCTTTTTTATATAGATTAGACCATTGGTTTTCCTGTTTGAATTGTTTTACACTAGTCATTTTAGGGCCCTTTATAGCTTGCTGTTCATTGTGAACCAAGGCTCTGTCTTGAAGGCCGTACTTTGACCTATAATTTTAAACTTTTTATACATTGTGACTTGGATGGAGAGTTGTCTCATTGGCACTCATACCACATCTTCTTATTTATATTTGAAATGGAGTAAAAACCTAATTGTTTAATTTTAAAAGCAGACTTGTCAGTAAAATTCTTTGAAGAGAAAATCTCATTTGTGTGATTAGTTAGGGTTGATTCTTATTGAACATTCTATTTAGATTTAGTCATGGCGAATATGTTACTGAGATCACTAAAAAAGTTTGGAGGTTGGCAGAAAAGTAGGAATAAATAAGAAAATGCTCATCTGTTCAGTCAAAGTTTTTGTTTGTATACAATGGAAGCTTGAATTGAATCCAAGTTCAAGTAGGTATGAGAAAAACTGTTTTTTTTTAATTTACCGAACTTATATGATGCACCTTGTATATCCAATGTAAAAACTGTATACATTTTTTAAACTAAAAAAAAATACATGTACGGAGCCATAGTGTTAGCACATATTACAATACCTGTCTTAATGATATTGAATAAAGATTTTTGTTGATAGAATCTGTTTAAACAAGACATACAAGCTATCCTTGTAAGAATCATTAATTTTCTGAAAACCTTGTTTGTGTTTTTCTCAGTAAATGTATTTTGTATGACCTGTTTTGAAATAGTTTATTCATAGTAGGTCATTAACATGAAAAGACATAAGAAACCTGTCCTGTCATGAATATAGATAATTTGAATAAACTTTGTACTGTGCAAAGTTTTGTCAGATTGACAGGTAAATTAAAGAGATACTTATATGAGTTCATGTATTTTGTATATCTATACCATAGCATTATCTAAATATAAAATATTTTATGACACAAAATTGTTTTTCCAAGGGAGATATTTGCTTAGGTCATAAATTAAAATCCAGAAAGTACTAGAATTCTTATATTTTAGTTTCAGTTATCATGGTTATTGACCCATTTACTTTTACAAACTATTATAAATTGTTATCTGAAATACATGTCTTTTTCATACTTTATATTTAATAATAAAGAAGTATATTCCATGAAATATATGTATGGTAGTTTGTATTTGAAAAAAATTCATTGAAGGACTAGGAATAACAAATTAAGATAAGATATTTAAAAAAAATCTTTTTAAGCATTCTTCATTGAAACAATTGGTGATTGACCAATCCATCTCTGACTTGGTAAAGACACTTTTTAAAGGAAAGTGTCAGAGTTATCTGTCACATGAACATACTTTTTGACCGACCTGTAAATTCTGGACTTATGATAAAATTATTAAGGGATGTTCAGTCTATCAGTCAGTATCAAGACATTTTCACTGTGATTACATTATGGAAAGTGACTAAACAAATCTTAATTACTTCTTAAGGAAATGTCTGACTGCCTTTTTAAATACTGCAAAGAAAATGTTTGAACAAATCCTGAGATCTAAACAATACAGAACAGTAATTTAAAGACATTTCATATTCCCTATTACAGGACCTACTTATTGTATTTATTGTTAATTAGTTCTTATACTGAATATGCATGACATATTTGCCACTGGAAATTAATCAGCCAACAATCAATCAATCACATTAAGTAACAAGGTTATAATTTTGAATTAAAGTTATGCTAAGTGATATAACAAACCAGTACAAGTTGCACTGTAGAAATGTTTAGAAAACTTCTGACAATCTGCTTAGCTATGGCAACCATAGTAATGAAATGAAATTGTTGTGATGTAATGCTACATTTGAACAATTTGATACTTAAGCTCCCTTTCTTGTTTATTATTTTTCAGAATAAAGTTTCATGAATTTCAAAGATACTTTCTTATGTTTACTGGAGAGGTTCAGTTGAGTAGTTAGCAATAGATGAAGTGTTATCAAAAATTTGAAGACTGGAATAGGGTGTATGGAGGCTGCTAAAAACTAAAACTTGTGCAATGAAAACCCATTTTCAAGAGAAACAATACATACTGACTTTTGAACAAGGATTTTTGAAAACTAAATGTTTTGTCAATCAGTCATATATACATTATCACTGATTGGTGTAGAATCACTGTATGATCAAAATGCACAATGAAACTGTACAATTCATAAATTAAGGAAGTCTGGCAACTTTAATGTCATCAAAAGATACCAATTTTATAATAAAAGGGAGATACTCTATTTAACAACACAGTCTCAAGTCTTATCAGAGGTGTTCAAACCTCAATCAACTCCAAAACTCATGCAGTAATGAAGAATTTCTGATCTTTCATTTTTGTTTTATACTGACTTTAAAAGAAACTTGTAAAACACGAGACACTTATCCATCATAATACAACAAATGAAGTTTTAAACAACTTCACATACCCATATGGCTACAGAGCAAAAAATTTACTCAAAAAAGGACAACCTAATGTTCTGATTTAAGGCACAAGTGTTTTGATGAAATGGAGCTACATTGCTATCTAGTTACTGTGGTTTTGCTGAAATATGTGTGGTCTTCTGTTGTTTTTTTATGCCCCACCTATGATAGAAGAGGGGCATTATTTTTTTCGGTCTGTGTGTCCGTTTGTTTGTCCATCCGTCTGTCCCACTTCAGGTTAAAGTTTTTGGTCTAGGTAGTTTTTGATGAAGTTGAAGTCCAATCAACTTAAAACTTAATACACATATTTCCTATGATATGATCTTTCTAATTTTAAAGCCAAATTAGAGTTTTGGCCCCAATTTCACGGTCCACTGAACATAGAAGATGATAGTGCGAGTGGGACATCCGTGTACTATGGACACATTCTTGTTTAACATTCTTAAACTGTTTTCATTGCATACTTAAGTCTATTGTAAATATGATTAAAATCTATAAAATATTTTTTCAGATTAAACTACAACAGCTTCTGATGAGACAAAAATTGATTTTTAGGTTCAGATTACTACAGGATAGTTGCCATGTGAGTTCTTTTCTTTACATATTGATTGAAATAACTGAATATTTCAGATTTGCATGACAAGGATTGATTGATGGCAAAATATCTGTACTTTAAAAAATGTCCTCCTTCCTTGTTGTTTATAACCAAAGATACTGATCTGTTACATTATGTTTATGTAAGTATATTTTTAAAGAAAATAGAAGATGACTGGATGAGTTTATGAATGAATAGCAGGAAGATTATGAATGAATGACAGGAAATAATAACTAGATAAAATCAATACAATAAGATTGTTAAACTATAACTATCTCCTCAATTTTTAGGAAAATTTTTGAAGAACAAGAACAATGTATATAACTGTGTTTCCTATTCTGTTGTTTGGAACTCTCAGATATTCAAACACCTTTAAATTGTACAAATAAAAGTAGATATGGTCCCTCATATGGGGTATATGTCAGTAAAAATAGCACCTCATATGGGGTATATGTCACTGATATGGAAGCAACTTAACAATGAATGGCAGCCAAAAACTTTTTTCTAAAACAATATCCCAAAGACCCTTGTCTGACAAAAGATCATGAACTTTCTAGATACTTTTCTTTATTATAGAATAATGGGTTTATCATGTTTCTTATTATAGAATGGTGGGTAAATCATGTCTTAGTATAGAATGATGGGTTTAACATTTATCATGTTTCTTATTATAGAATGCTGGGTTATTGTAGAATGATCATGTTTCCCTATTTCTATAGAATCTTGATCATTGATATCACTACACAGTTTTTGTTGAGCAAAAAAAGAAAAAAAACTGACATCATAAGTAAAAGATATATATGAAAATAAGAAGGTATGATAGCCAATGAGACGACTCTCCACAAGAGACCAAATGACACAGAAACTAACGACTATAGGTCATCATATGGCTTTCAACAATGAGTAAAACCCAAACCGCATATTGAGCTATAAAAGGCCCCGAAATGACAAATGTAAAACAATTCTAACAAGAAAACTAATGTTAATTAAAAGGTCCATGATATAATTTTCCCTTGTCTTACTTTTGATAAATAGTTGTCTTCTTGCAAACCATACTATTTTTTATTATTTTATAAGGCATTCTATCTGTAAATAGGTGTAATACCACCAAATCATAGTACGTCACATCCGGTTGCATACGAAAACGTCACATCCAGTTGCATACGAAAATAGGTCGAAAAAATTATTCCCTTGAATTTGACAGTTGTAGGTAATTGATCCTACATTTCATTGCAGTAAAACATTTCTGAGTCATAAACATATATCTTGGGTATTTCAAAGCACCATTATTTCTTTATTTGGGGTTTCTATAGAATATTTTGGAAACTTGAGGTTACATGGTTACTAAAGCTTGTACACAGGTTAAAAAAGGGGGAAAATTTGATTGGTTAACTTCCAGTGATGGTTATTTTCTTATATGCAATGAAATGTTATGTGAAATTTTTTCTATAGTACTGGACAGGATAAAACTTTACTCATGCCAAGTATTTGTTTATTTGAAACAAAGATAAATTCTGCACAATTTTTTGAAAAGTGCAAATTTAACAAAGACTAATAGGGGAAAATCAATGGTGGTATTACACCTATATGCATGCATGAGATAAATGACATTTTATAATTGGTTTTTTTTTGGTTTTTTTTTTTTCTTTTCTTGAGATAAAGAAGAAATATACATGTACCATGAAATAAGGAGATGTGTTATGATTATCAATATTGAGACAACTATATATTTATCCACCAGAAACTAAATGATGTAGAAGTAAGCAACCATAGGTCATTGTATGGCTTCAACAAAGTGCAAACCCATACTGCATGCTATAATAGCCCCCAAAAATCACAAATGTAAAACAGTTAAAAAAAAAAGAAAACTAACAGCCCACTTATCATGCTTATGTCTATTGTAAATATGACTTAAATCTATAGATATTTTTCAGGTTGTACTGCAAAAGCTTTTGATGAGACAGTATTAGAAATTGATTTTTATGTTCAGATTACAACACGATGGTTGCCATGTAAGTTCTTTTCATAAAATATTGATGAAAATAACTGAATATTTCAGATTTGCATGACGAGTATTGATTGATGGCAAAATATCTGCACTATAAAAAATGAAAATAAGGAGATGTGTTATGATTATCAATATTGAGACAACTATGCACCAGAAACCAAATGATGTAGATGTCAGCAACTATAGGTCATTGTACGGCTTATACTTTATAGTAATGTGACATATTCTAATGAGACACCAACAGCTTGATTTATAATATAATATTGATTCAAAAACAAATATGACAGACAGCAAGCAACCACAGCCACTGAATTACCTCGTCCTGACTTAGGACAGACAGATATAGAATGCGGAGGGGTGAAACATGTTTGTGAGCGCTCAACCTTCATTGGCATGATAAGCTGTAACAAGATTTGTCATCAAATTTTGTTGAACGCGAAGTTTTCTTACTTTTAGGTTCATATTATATTTCAATGCTTTTTAGCTCAGTGAGCTTTTCTCATCACTTGGCATCCGGCGTCTGTCGTTGTCTGTTAACTTTTACAAAAATCTTCTCCTCTGAAACTACTGGGCCAAATTTAACCAAACTTGGCCACAATTATCATTGGGTATCTAGTTTTCAAAATGTGTCCGATGACCCCACCTGTCAACCAAAATGACCGACATGGCTAAAAATAGAACATAGGGGTAAAATGCAAGTTTTGTCTATCATTTTGAAAACCGTTATAAATAGAGAAAATCTGACTAGGCCAAAAATGTTCTGATTTTGAGCTCTACCAACTGTCCATATATGTCAAAACTGTCAGACGACTTATAGGAGTTATTGCCCTTAAATGACAAATTTTACCCATTTTTTTTCATTTTTGCCTATTATCTTGAAAATAGATAGAGAGAAACATTCAATTGCAAAAATGATCAGCAAGACAAGTTCTACTAATAAGTCTAATGGTTGCAATCGTCAGTTGACTCCTTATTAGAGTTATTGCCCTTTGATGATGATGATTAGTACCAATTTTTTGCTTTTTTCCTTATATCTTATAAATTATAATAGATAGATAGAAACTTTAATCAACAAAAATGATCAGCAAGACAAGATCTACAATTAAAACAAATGGTGGAATTTGTCCAACGACTCCTTATTAGAGTTATTGCCCTTTAATGATGATTTTACCATTTTTTTTGCTTTTTGTCTTATATATTAAAATTATAATAGATAGATAGAAACTTAAATAAGCAAAAATGATCAGCAAGACAAGATCTACTAAAAAGTCAAATTTTGCCGATATAGTGAGAAGACTGTCACTCTTTATATATATAGGAGTGATTCTCCTTAAATGAGAATTTTTTTTTACCCTTTTTGTGTTTTGAGCAAAAACTAAAGAAGATAGAGAGAAACTAAATAGACTAAATGATCAGCAATACAAGATCAACAAAACAGAGATTTTTGTCATGAATTCTATTCTCGTCTGCAATGTTGGAGAGTGTCCTTTGTTGAATATGTATATAGACCAAGGTATGTGATACAGGCTCTTTAGAGCCTCTAGTTTGTTGTTGAATATTATACAAAGTGGATGGTATTTTGTTTACTAAAGATTTATGCCACTTTCTATGCTTAATTATTTTTTACATAATTTATCTTTTCAGAATCTAATGCATAATGGTTTACTGGTTGACATTTTGAAAGGCGAACAACAAAACATGACCAAAATGTTACCACTGTCCAAAACAGTGCCAACGAAGTGAGATTATTTTTCTTTTGTCCAAAACAGTGAAATTACCCACAATCTTGTAGATTCTTAAGTGATGGTTTCAAAGGTACAGTCTATACTAGAGAGAATTTTGTAAATGTAGCATTGTCTATCATCTCAAACAAATACAAAATTAATTACACGTCATACCGTAATGATAAAGGTGATTAGTGAAAAAAAGATCTTCATGAAAGGAATAATTCAAGATAAAATTCGTAATTAGTAATATAAACTATTTTCATTCACACATTTTATCATATCAATACTCTGCAATATCTGACGTGTGATATGAAGTAGAGTGTTTAGACTGAATGATATCATGAAATTCATAAAAAAAGCTCAGAAAAAGACAAATGACATTTCTTTTTTTAATTTAAAGTGATTTATTTGTACATAAAGAAAAACAAAATCCTGTGAGACAGTTAATTTAGATTTTGTTATTTTCTCTTTATATAGGGGAGATAAATCTTTGTTTTTTTACAAAATAGTTAAAGGCTTCTATATGAAATATTTTTCCATCATTTTGGGACTAAGTATACATAAAAAAGAAAGCATAATAAAATTAAAGCACCATCTCTTTATCATTCGTTATATTAATATGGTTTTGTTTGACTCTATAGTAAAACTTGTTTCACAGAAATGTTTTGTAAAGTAATATTAATCTTGACTTCAGGATATTAGCAATGTCAAACTTTTTGATCCAAAATTATTTTATTAACCTGCAGTCAGTTTAAAGAATAGGGAAACAATAAACTATAGATCTTGATAAGCACTTCAAATCAGTTATCATGTATTGTTTACATTATTTCTTGAATATCAGCCATTTAGTAGAAAGCTTCTTTTTATCTTATTCCCTGCACTTTTTCCCCACCTTTTAACAAACAGTTGATATTTTATGATATTAAGATGCTGAAAACCTAATAAAGTATTCTTTTTTTGTAGGCAGCTCTGTTTTATTACAATAAACAAAAATACACATTTTGACCTAAACAAGGTCTTGATATTAAGTTAAGTGCTTTCATACTTCATCAACATTTTTATAACATAATAAAATTACAATAAGAAGCATTCAATTCTTATAATTACATTTTTATGCTATACAACCATGAAATTACAAGTTACCGGTATATGCATTGTTGTGATGCTATTCAGTGGCATAGCTAGGCGGAAGCTCGGAAGCCAAGGCTTCAACATCGTTTTGTCATAAACAAAAAATCATAATAAAAAAAAATAAAAATAAAAACGAGCTAGAGGTATGAGAGAGAGGGAGGAGACTCCCAGTGAGAGTAAGTGGAGGGGAAAATAAATGGGCACTGTGAGGTTAAATAAACAAAAAGTTGTAGAAGTCAACGAGTCGATATCACTTCTCAGACTCCCGGCGTTCGTTCCCATCACCAACGCTTTATTTCCCCTCTTTTTATAGCAGACGAATATTGTGTCTGCAGGGTGTTCTGCTATTTACAATGCAACGCAGAATTGACAATGCCTGTGACCAATTCCACGGCTGAATCAACGCAGTTTCAGTGTCATGTGCCAGGTTAAAACATATCTGCATTATACGATGACAACCGAACGACTTTCGGGGCTATAGATGTATCCTTCACACGTACAAGGAGACGTACATTGATAAAGTAATTGACAGTAGGCTTGCTTTTTTGTTGGTGAGAGAGATTGACTCTCACTCTTTTAATAATTCATGTCCACACAAACAATTCAAACGCGAAAAATAACGGAATGATTTATGTACCAAATAATGAAAGAAACACAAATATGATACAGCAACAAACCACAACCATTACACCGAATAACATGCTCCTGACTTGGGACAGGCACATACCGAATGTGGCGGGGCTAAACTAATTTGAAGGCGCCATCCTGCCCTAACCTGGGTACCCACTATATTAACCTGAATATATTGTTTACATCTCACCTACAAACAATTTTTAATGGTGTGGTTTTTGTCGAGCCTGTGACTTTTGTCACAAAAGCAAGACATAGCGATCTTTACATTCTGTCAGCGGCAGCGGCGGCGTCCACAAATATTTACTGTGTGGTTAAAAGTTTTTGAAATTTTAATAACTTTCTTAAACAACCCTGGATTTCTAGCAAACTTGGACAGAAGCTTGTTTATGATCATAGATAGTATCCAGAAGTAAATTTTGTAAAAACAAAATCCTTATTTTTTGTATTTCGTATTTTACTTATAAATGGACTTAGTTTTTCTGCCAGTTAACATTACATTCACTCTGTGGTTAAAGTTTTTAAAAATTTTTTAATAACTTTCTTAAACTACCCTGGATTTCACCAAACTTGGACAGAAGTAAATTTTGTAAAAAAAATCCTTTTTTTCATATTTTACTTATAAATGGACTTAGTTTTTCTGCCAGTTAACATTACATTCACTCTGTGGTTAAAGTTTTTAAAATTTCAACAATTTTCCTAAACTATCCTGGATTTCTACCAAACTTGGACAGAAACTTGATTATGATCAAAAGCTAGTATCTAGAAGGAAATTTAAAAAAAATGTATTTCCTGTTTTTCCGTATATTACCTATATATGGGCTTAGTTTTTCTTCCAGTTAACATTACATACAGTCTGCAGTTAATATTCTTAAAACATTTATTAGATTCTTAAAGTAGGCGAGACACTGGTCTTAGTAAATATAACTTTTTTATCCCTCTGGAATCTCCTGGCTTTTACAGTTTCTTTAAGGAACAACATATATTTTTTCACAAAATTATCTGACTTGTATCAAACAAAAATGCTTTTGACTACACCTTAACATTCAATATTTTCAGTTAATATTTGTGGGTCTAAAACCCTAAAATCCAGGAGCTTCAGGGGGTTTTGCCCCCTGGCCCCCTACCAGGGGGGACTTTAGTGGCCCCCAGACCCCCTGCTGATTTGGGCTTCACCTTCAACATTTGTCTAGCTACGCCACTGCTATTGTGAGAAGCACGTGCTATCATGAATGTTAAATTTTACGGAGAAATACAATTTGATATTAGAATGCCCTGCGATTGCTTTCAGCCAATCGAAAGTGAGGATGTTTATAAAAACATACATGTAATGTAATTATAATTGTATGATTTATTTGTCTAGCTGTTTATCCTAGCTGAGGAAAGACTACTATACTGTGTAAAAATAGATCATATATTATACAAATGAAATAGTGAATAGGACATGATATAGTAGTACATACTATGTATAACCTTTTATAAGTTTTATTATTATTTCAGTAAAGAAAGAAGAAACCATAAGATGTAACAAGATTTATTATTAACTTTTGTCAATATAAAGTTTTCTTCAACAAAGGTTTAGTAAACAAATATTTTAGTTCTTTTTTTTTTATATTGATAAATAATTTTATTCTGTTCTGAACTTTATTTTTTTAGTAACTATTTACTATAGTGTCAAACCTGCATTAAGCGGTCACTCAATGGAAGTATCAAAAGTGACCGCTCAAGAGAGGTGACCTTTTAAATTCAGTTTCCAAAAAATAAAATCTGATTCCCACATTGCATGTGGCCGGGATGAGGTCAAATTGTTTTAATATTTTCAACTGGTAGTGTTATCGTTCGTGCTAGCAGTCAAATAAAAACTGGCATATTCCAGCTCTCTAAATCTGAAGAAAACATTCGAAATAGTTAATTTTCGTGGATAAATAAGTTGATGATACAGTTTTCAGTTGAAACTGAAAGGAGTGGAACACGAGAAATTCACAAATTCACCTCCTTTTGCACGATCTTGGTTACAAAAGGGTTCCAACTCTCATTTTGACCTCAATACTGAACACATATATTTTTCGTCATGATTATATTTTGGTTGTTAAAAACATGACAATGGCCATGGTTAAAAGTTGAAATTACGATGTTGTGCAAAAATTAGGTGACTGCTGAAAGGAGTTAAATTATATAGAGAAAACGTTTGGGAGGGTCTGAAAGTGGCCCTTAGAGGCAGGTGACTGCTGAAGCGAAGTGACTATTAAGGCAGGTTTGACTTTATTGCGAGAAAAAAGTCCAGTGAATAATCAAGAGTGATTAACATTGTGAAATACTCAGAAAATTCTGCAGATTGATTTATTTTGAACACTGTCCTACATCCTGTTGATACATATATCGGGACGTTCCAAAGGCCATGCCTTCTTAAACTGCTATGACATATGTGGTTTATACTGTTGGAGGTGTAATGATTGATTTGTTTATCTGGAAGAACATGGTTTGTTTATTAGTTGAATTGACCTTAAACATTCTTTTAGTAACTGTAAGTACCCTTATATTGGTACTTTGTGGGTTTTATCTTCTTGTTCTTTGTTGGATAATAGTTGATGAATGTGAAACGTATGGATGCTAATCCAGAATTGGTGGCAGCAGTGATGGAGTAAACTATATGTATAAAGCTTTCAGAAGGTGGATGACCTGGATATCTTTTGTCTTGTATACAGATGACTCATTTTCTGAATTTTCCGCCTGACATATGTCTGTTATCCTTGACCCAATTTTTATTGTTCAGCTGCTTAAAACTGTATAGTTTTTGTCTCGCCTGTGTGCGAGAAATAGGTATTACTATCTGTTGGCTGCAGGGGCGGCTATGTAAACTATTTGTATTAAGCTTTATATTTCAGAAGGTAGAAAACCTGGATGCTTCATACCTTGTGAGCAGATACCTTATCTTACAAAGTTTCCGTCTGTCATATGTCCATTGGCCTTGACCTCATTTTCATGGTTCAGCGACTGCACAAAAAAATATTATTATATTTTTGTCATGTGAATTTCTCACTTATTACGAGTAATAGGATAACTATATTTGGTATAGGGATTCCTTGCAACGTCAACATGTCAGTCAGACAGGGTTCACCTTACCTCGACCTCGTTTCATGGGTCAGTGATTAGGTGTGTTTCTCAGATACTATAAGCAGTAGGTCAACAATATGTGGTGTATGGAATGATCGTAAGGTAAACATGTCTGTCTAGCTGGTATAATCTGACCTTGACCTCATTTTCATGGTTCAATGGTCAATGTTAAGATTTTGTGTATTGGTCTGTTTTTCAATTACCATAAGCTATAGGGCAACTATATTTGGTGTATAAAAAAAATTGTAAGGCGTATATGTCTGTCTGACAGGATTTATCTGACCTTGACCTCAATGTTATGTTTTTTTGTTTTGGTCTGTTTTTCAAATACTTTAAGCAGTAGGTCAGCTGTATTTGATGTATGGAATGATTGTAAGGTGTACATGTCTATCTTGCAAGTATAATCTGACCCTGACCTCATTTTCATGGTTCATTGGTCAATGTTAAGTTTTGTGTTTTGGTCTGTTTTTCAATTACCATAAGCTATAGGGCAACTATGTTTGGTGTAAGGAAAAGTTGTAAGGTGTACATGTCTGTCTGACAGGACTTATCTGACCTTGACCTCATTGTCATGGATCTTTCAAAATGTTAAGTTTATTAGATACTTTTAGTGAAACCTTTACCTTTAAGACTTTCAACATAAAATCAATGGTCAGTAAAGCAGGTGAGAAATTTCAGTGTGTGCACTCTTGTTTATCACATGAATTCTCAATATTTTGAGTAATAGGATACCTATATTTGGTATATAGAATCATTACAAGTTAAAAATAAAAAGGTGTGGTATGATTGCCAATGAAGCAACTATCTATCAGAGACCAAATGATGTGGATGGAAGCAACTTATACATGTCCATCGGACAGGGTCCACTTGACCTTCACCTCATTTCTTTGATCAGGGATTAAGTTAAGTTTTCATAGTCTAGTCAGTTTCTCAGACACTATTGTCAATAAGTCAACTAAATATGGTGTATGGAATGATTGTAAGGTACATGTTCATCTGGCAGGTTTTATTTGACCTTAACCTTGTTGGTTCACAAGTCAATGTTAATTTTTTTGTGGTAAGGTGTGTTTCTCAGATATTATAAGCAATAGGTCAAATATATTTGGTGTAAGAAATGATTGTTAGGTAAATATGTCCATCTGGAACACTTTTGTCTGAACTTGAACTCACTTTCTCGTTTAATTTGTAAATGTTTAGTTTTCTTGTATAGCTCCATTTCTCAAATACTTTATTCAATAAACCAATTATATTTGGTGTTTACATCGTTGTCTTCTGGTCCTGTAAATTCTTTAATTTGTGTGTGCATATATTATTGTGATTGTTGAACAGTGGACAAAAATGCATGATTAATTATTTTGATTTTAGGAAATGTTGCATATAAATAATGCTATCAAAATTTAGGATGCATTTTTTTTTTTTTTTTTTTTTGCAAAACCTGTCCCTTTGCAATTTTTTGCAATGATAAAAAAATCTATATATGTACATTTAAATAATTTAATTTGGGTTTGCTATATATGTTCTCTCCATTTAGAAAAAAGAGGCAGAAGATACCAAAGGAACGATTATAAATCATAAGTTGAAAAAAAGCAACAACATCATGACAAAAACCTATTGTGATCTCACATGCTCCAGAAGGATAAGCAGATCTTGCTCCACATGTGACACCCCTCATATTGCTCATGGCATGATGGAAAGATGAATTTGGTGATGTCACAATTGGAAAAAAACTAAGACAGATTTCTCATGTTATCTTGAGTTCTAATGTAATCTTAAATCTAAGAAAAAGACATACATACAGTATACATGGTTCCCAAATGTACATTTTTTTTGAGAAAAAATGGTTTAGATTTTAATGATGCATTTTCAATTTACGCCATTGCTGAAACTGATGCAATTAATCTATAAATGATTTATGGTAGAAGCTTTAATGCATTTCAGTGTACTTGAAAAAGCTGCACGACTTCATTGAAATCATAACCAAAAAGAATCATATCTTAATATAAACAGAAAAAAAACTATGCCCTTGGATCAATATAAACCTTTCCACTTTATATGGAGGGGTTCAGATGTGAACTTGCTCACTAAGGTTCTTTATTAGTTTAGAAAAGAACTGAAATTGTAAGTTGGAGGAGATCATTTTTTTGCATTGTGAAATTGCTGTTTAAAGCATATTCAAATAAATACCGGTATTCAAAGATATCACTTTATATTGATGAAATTCTCTAGTTTTATTATTGTGAAATATTCATTGCTAAATGAATGATGTTGTGAGTAATATAGTATAACATATATTTCAAGATTAATAGAACTTGTTGCTTCATTGTGTAACTTTATTGAGATCATTCAATAATCATAAATCAATACAAAGACTTTAACTATGCAGTATGTATACTATTATCATATATTTTTTACAGAAAAAGAAGAGCATGACAGACTATAATAAATATGATGATAATATAATTATCTCTAGTATCACAAAACAGGTAGATTAACTTAGATAAAGTCTTAAATGTACCTTTTTGTCTCACCTGCGACGAAAGTCTCTGTATACGAGACATAGGTATTACTATCCAAAAGTGGCAACGGCGTCAATGTTAACTATTTGTATAAAGCTTTATATTTCAGAAGATAGAAGACCTGGATGCTTCATATCTTGTATGCAGATACCTTATCTTACAAAGTTTCCATCTGCCATATGTCCATTGTCCTTGACCTCATTTTCATGGTTCAGCGACTGCTTATTATAAATTTCTCACTTATTATGAGTAAAAGGATAACTATATTTGATATATGGGTTCCTTGGTACGTCTACATGTCCGTCAGATATGGTTCACCTGACCTCGATCTTGTTTCATGGATCAGTGATCAAAGTTAAAATTACATGATGAGGTCCGTTTCTCAAATACTATAAGCAGTAGGTCAGCTATATTTTTTGAATGGAATGATTGTAAGGTGTACATGTCTGTCTGGTAGGTACCATCTGACCTTGACCTCATTTTTATGGTTCATTGGTCAATGTTAAGTTTTTGTGTTTTGGTCTGTTTTTCAAACACTTGTAGCAATAGGTCAGCTATATTTGGTATATGGAATAATTGTAAGGTGTACATGACTGTCTGGCAGGTTTCATTTGACCTTGACCTCATTTTCATGGTTAATTGGTCAGTGTTAAGATTTTGTGTTTTGGTCTGTTAATTCAATTACCATAAGCAATAGGTCAACTATATTTGGTGTATAAAAAAATTGTAAGGTGTATTATGTCTGTCTGACAAGATTTATCTGACCTTGACCTCATTGTCATAGATCTTTAAAAATGTTAAGTTTATGTGATACTTAAAGTAAAACCTTTATCTTTAGACTTTCAACATAATATCAATGGTCAGTGAAGCAGGCAAATCATTTCAGTGTGTGCACTCTTGTTTAAAAAGTTATATAATTAATATTAAAGCAGATGCTTAACAGTTTTGATATAGATATAGCGTCAGATAGAAATCGACCTTATGCAAATGAATATCAATACATCTGTTAACCTATTTTGGGTTGAAAAAATCTCTACGGAAAGTCTGTAACTGTTTGAAAACAGACATAAATTCATCTTTTATTTCATATTTGAATGTTCCAAAATCAATCAAAGTGTTATACATATACATGTATATGTGCACTTGCATAAGGTCGATTTCTATCAGACGTAGCTCATATGTAAAATATTAATACAAAATGCTCATTGTAAAAACCTTAACATTCAATCTAATGTTATTTTGCAGGAAAAGGAGCAACTAATGTTTGTGTTTTTATTATGATTAGAGAATGTTTATTACATTACATGTACAATGAAAATTTGGAAAACAGAAGAGTAAACAAAAAAATTAACATAAACTTTATAAATAATTCTTGGCATGTCAGATATTTAATGAATAAGGAGATGTGGTATGATTGCCAATGAGACAACTATCTACCAAAGTTCAAATGAAGTGGATGTAAGCGATTATAGGCAACCATACTGCCTTCAACAATGAGAAAAACCCATACTGTATAGTCGGTTAGTTCATAAACATTCTTTAAATTATGACATTATTATGTATAGTGTATAAAAGGTGGATTTCTTTCCTATATAAGGGAGATAAATCTCATATTTTTGTGTTGAATGTTGGACAATAGCTTAAAGATTCTTAAAACTGTTACAATATTCAGGACACATTATTTTTACTATTCTAAACATAAAATGAATATGTAAGAAACAAAACTTGTATTTATGGAAATATCATTTGATTGAAAGATTTTTATTGCTTTGTTTTTGACAGTGAATTTATACATTTTCATTTACCTCAAAGAATAGGTAATTTTGTATATAACAATAAAAGTAAAGTTAATTAAGGTAAAGTTGATCATCTTGTTCTTACACTCTCTTTTGTAGACAGAAATAATAAGCTTTAGACTTCTATATATACCCCTCTGAAGAAGTCTCTGAGGAATATAGTTATGGTACTGGTCAAGTAAATTAAAACAATCAGCTGGAAACAGAAGAAATAATGAGCTACAGTCAATTGTAAGTTTTCAATGCAATACAGACTAAACCTCTTTAGTAAACTTCATTAGAGTTGGAAGAAACTATAGTCAGAATATCATTAAATGTGGTAAATGTCTGGTCATTTTGGAGAGGTCAATCATGATGCCTCATGAAAAGAGAGTCTCACACTCTCACCAAGTTGAAGAATCTTGACATCAAAGCTCTGGTTGGCCTATAGGTGGCCTGTTTCAAGGAAATACATTTGCCCCTATCCAACATACCATTGTTTTTTATAGTGAAAGTCCTAAATCATGACCTTCATCTCTTTCCTCCCACCTTGCAGAATCTTCCTATTGTAGAATTGTTAGAAGTTTCTTGTCCTGCTTGGAATAATTGCTGCTGGACATTGAGCAAGGAAGAATCGTCCAATCAGCAATATATTTGTATCCTAATTTGTGGTAAAATGTTTGATTGTAGAAATGACATATAATTGTAATTAAGGAGGGGAGGTTACTTTTTACCCCAATAATTTTGGAAACAATGAAATCACTGTATTAAGCATAATCAAATATTCAAATATATTTCAATTTACATAGAAAAGAGTGTTTTAAACTAGTTTCTTCTTAAATAATTAAAAAACATGAATTGATACAAAGATTGTTAGTATGCAGTATGTATACAATTATCATTTATCTTTTTTTATAGAAACAAATGAGCAAGACAGAAAATAATAAACATTGTAAAGAAAAGTGTTGATGATAGAAAATAGTCTCTGGCATCAATCAACAGGTAAATAAAAATTGCATAAATATGTTAAATATACCTTTTAAAAAAAGTGTACAGTTAAGGTTTAAGCAGATGCTTAATAGTTTCGATATGAATATTCAAAATACTAATACACAAAGCTCACTGTTAAATACAATTGAACCTTTAAACTTAAGCCACTCTTATAGGAAGAAGAGCAACTTGAGTAAAATTCATGCAAATTTTCATGTGATAACTCATTTTATGCATAGAAATTGCTTGTAACATTACAACAGAAAGATTTAAAAACAGAAAAAATAGTAAATAAATATAGTTTACATAAACTGGATAAATAATACTTGGAGGAACATATGCATGTCAGTTATAAAATTAAATTTAAGTACAAATTCTGGAAAAGTTCATTAACATTCTTTGAATAATGACAGCATGATAATGTATAGTGTAGAAAGGTGGATTTCTTTCTTATATAAGGGAGATAAATCTCAAATTTTTGTGTTGAATGTTGAAAAAAAGATTATAGAATTTGTCTTTGTGGAAATATCATTGATTGTTTGATTTTTATTTCTTTGTTATAGAAAATGAAGTTAATGATTTATATAAAAATAAGGAGATGTGGTATGATTGTCAATGAGACAACTATCAACCAAAGTTCAAATGAAGTGGATGTTATACATTTTCATTTAATTCAAAATACAGGTTAATTGGTACCTAACAAATAAAAGTAAAGTAAAGCTAGGTATAAGTGATCATCTTGTTCCCAGATACTATTTTATGAGCTATGGACTTCCACTTATTCCCCCTCTGAAGAAGTTTCCAAAGGAATATAGTAATAGTATAGATAAAGTATGTTTAAACAATTTGTCAGCTGGAAACAGAAGAAATAATCCCCCAAGGTTAATAATAAGTTTCCAAAGAAAAACAAACTAAACCACTTTAGCAACTTCATTAGAGTTGTTTTACATCATTATCAAGCAGATAATATGACTAGATTGATTAAAAAACAAACTAAAGACAAGTGTCTAGGTAACATCTAAGTAATGCAATTCTAGCAAAACCTCTTGAGCCAACTAGTGAAGATTTGTTAAACATAATCAGTTTGAAGAAAGGATGAAATTGATTTTCAGGATAAAAAATAAATCATGCTGAGTTTAAAAATCAATGTCAAAGATATTATTATTATTTTGAATCAAAATTAGCTGTTTGGTTAACTAACATCAAACTTAGTGTACTTCATCCATATGTGTTAGAATTGTCATGACCCTAACATAATTGATGGTAACTGATCCTCATGCCCATAAAAGATTACATCACAATACATCACAATTGAAAACTAGTAACTCTTTTTTTCATCATTTTAATTTTGAAATTGAGGATTTAAATATTGGTTCTGAAAAATATTGATTGATTGATTTGTGGTTTCTTTACGTCCAGTGGTTCTGAAAATTATAATGTAAACCTTTATGTTGAAAAATAAAGGCTGATCATCAATCAGGAGGAGTAATTAGTGTTATCTGCAGTTTTCAAAAAGGGCAGAATAATTTTTTGCTTAGAGGATGACAACACTTTTAGGGCAGCCTTAATAGAGATATGAACACTTCATAGGCCCCTCCTGATTCTAGACAAACTGATATATTCATAGTAACTACATATACTTTATCTGCTGTTAGATCATCTACCACAAAACTGAAATTAAAAATAAATATGATATGGATTGGATGTACACCTGGGCTCTTCATCATGAAAACACTGCTATGGATAGGGATTTAACATAATATATCATTATCGTTTGATATTTGAATTTTTAATGTTAAAAAGTTAAAGATTTATTATTAGATAACTATTTATTTATTTTGGTAATGAAATGTTTATTTCTAGACAAAACTCATGGAATCTTGATAGTGCTCCCACCTCAATTTATTTAATAACTCCAGCTAATACTCACTATGGCTGGCCAGGATGTAATGTGATGATTTGTTGTGAAGGCTTTTAAGCTACTAAGGAGAAGGGCATGGTACAAAAAACGTCTACAATAGGGCAGGTAGTCATAGAAATTGGAACATGGTGCTGCACTCACCTATAACTTCATGTAGGAAACACCAAATTAAGCCTCATATAAGGTTACAGTAAATAGTTGTTTAAATTACCCTTTTCCACATTAGCTAGCAATTTTAATAAAACTTTAGTCCATTAATTACAGTCATAAATCATATTGCAAGTTATATCATCTATACTTAAGTGTACAGACAAAAGATTGTCACTGTGACTTAACTTTCATGCTTCACCGACGTTAGTATTAGAAGTTCTATTTAAGGTAGCACAATACAAAGATTTTTTCACCCCCAACCAGATAACTTTAAACTGATATAATTTCTTTCATCCAGCTTTAAATTTTATAAATGAGGTACCAAAAGAAAGAAGAAAGATTAATCTTTCAAATGGTGATTATTTCATTATGACATGATTATTACATAATTAATTATTATGTAATTAGTTGCTATATTGTGATGTCCACACTTGAATGAAATTAGCTTCTTTGTTATTCATACCATCCCAAAATATTTTATAGATTCTTGTGCAACACAGTTTGACCTCCAAAAGGGTGTCTCAGATTCTTCCTATTGTATTTCATTCTCTCATAAACCTTCAATGAAGTTTGCAACCTCAATTCATAAGAGATCACTAAATTAAATTGGGTATAAAATTTGTTCTATTGATGTTTTTGGAAATCTGAGACACCCTTTTGAAGATAACTGGTCAAGGAACAACGTGTGAAAATCAAGCATATAGAGGCACCCATCTAGAAGCTAATTTCATTTAAAACTACATTTTCATGACAAAAATGAATGTGTCACAATTGAATAAATAAGGATTTTCCTACTTGTACCCCTTTAACTTCAATATAATTCACACATGTATCATGGGAATACTTCAGGATTGACCTTTAATCATAAATCAATTAGGTTTTGACCAGTAAGAAAGCATTCTAATTCAGCAATTCTAAATATATAAAGAAAATGCACACCCTATGCATCAACAATCAGATCTGGCGGGAGATGTTATATCATTATTGACCTTGCTGTAAGTCAGTTGCTACTGATATGGTCAAAACTCCACCCACCATGATAAACCTTTACTATTAATGATCTCAGAAGTTTAATTACACATTGCATTTACTTTTTTCAATATGGATTTTATTGTTTTAGTACATAAAATGATATATTTTGTTTTTTGCATTGTTACAAAAAGTAAGTTATGCATGTGTACACAAAATGATCAGTTGGTCGGTCTAGAGGATCCTTAATACAATGACAATATGGTGTTTTACACAAAGTATTTTTTTTCATTTTTTGCAGTTTGAAAATGAAGTATTTAATTTGTATTTTCTTTTAAAAAGAATTCATATTTAAACATTCTCCTCAAGAAATTCTAGTATAAACATCAGCAACATTTATTGTTGTACAATTATATTTGTTTACTATCTGTACATTTATATTTTGATTCCCTCCTTAGCTCCAAATACCGGTAGTTGTTTTGTTTTTTCTCCTGACATCTCCAATACAGAAATGTATTTTTATTTGGAATTCATTATCTTTCATTTTTCCATAAATCCCTAATCCACCTCTTTTTCATAACTGTTATTTTCTATTGCTGGTCAGTGGTTGTAAAGCTTTCAAATGATTCTGTTGATTAACCACATAGTACTGCCCACATGTTCTTATCTTGTATCAGTCAGACACGTGCATTTGTTTATAAAACTATTTATCATCAAAACTCATTAACACTGCAAGATATGTAAATAATTTTTTCTTCTGTGGTTTTTGAATATTAAGAAGTAACAAAAACAGCCGAAAATGAAATTTTGATAAAATTTAATTGCTTTTGTATTGTGCTACTGTAACATGGAATCCTCTCAAACTTTTATGTAGATGTGCTTTTAACATATATGAAAGTGGTTTTTATCCTCTTTTCATGATGTACTGACTTAACATCAGATTTATATTAAAGGCACTGTAGGATATAGGCTCATCCAAGGCCATGTAAGATTGGTTTAGTAATTTAATTTAGTTATGCCTAAGATGTATATTCTGTTATAAGATAATACGATTGCTAATATCATGAATAACAAATCCACAAATTTTTGTCTAACTTGGATGCTCTGAAATGAATACATCAACAAATTTGTAGAATTGCAATAATAAATTGCTGCAAAATCAACTTGAAAGGGATTTAATGAATAAAAGTATCCATGAAAATAAGTTGGTTTACAAAAATTTTATCATAGAGAAATTATTTGTTATTTAATGGTCCATTGACAAATCTGGGATTAAATATATCTGTTGAAATAACCACAAATCTCTTTTAAAAAATGAAATTTACAAGAAATATGTTATTGGACATGCAAAGACATAATGAAAATCATTAGTGTTTGTACAATAATTTTATGTTAGTTTTGGGAATCATGTATTCTGCCAAGTGATTAACATTCTTATCACAGTTATGTTTTGTCGACTCTTATTGATGCCAGTTTAAGGCTTGTGTTTTCTTACACTGCTCATGTTGTCATGAAAGGTGAGACAAAGGCATTGCTTTTGCGGCAACAACGAATAAGCAATCTTCAATGTTAAGTTTTCTGCTTTTAAGTAAGTTTGATAGGAACTACTTGTGGTAGATCAATGATATTTTCTATAAAGTTGCATTACTGTTTGTACATTTCAAGGCCTTGCCCACTAGTTCATGTTCCAGAAACTTTGAATTATTTAGCAATGTTGCTGTCCATCAGATTATCTTTTTTGAATTTTATGCTGATATGCGAGACATACCGTATAGCGGGTTATTTTTGCGGGTGTAAAATTTCGCGATTTAGGGGCAACAAAGTATACGAAAAATTTGGCGGTTTTTATTTTGGTGGATTCTTAAATCCCAATAAAATATTTTGGCGGATACTGAAATTGTTGCATATAAAATATTGAAAAATTAAGAAGCAAGTTTATTGATTTGTTTACCTTAATGACGTCTTATTTATTGATCTTGACCGGAACTTTGATGTACTCACTAATTAGGTTATAAAATTATCAAGACTGACTTACAACTCTTATGCAAGTTGACACTAATTAATAAGGGTAATTACCTGATAGAGTACCCTACTCATAATCTATTTGACACTAATTGATAAGGATATACACACGTGACAGTCATTTTATAAAATACATGTATGTTCAATGCCCTTTTTGTTTATGTTGTTAAAAATAACCTATACCGTTATTGACCTACCGACAGACGCTTTAGCTATTAGAAAGTAACAAAAGTATGCATTAATTTTCGTGGAATTTATTTTCGCGATTTTCTTTCATCCGCCAAAATAAGCGAAAATAACCCGCTATACGGTATCTCTGTGTCAACAGTTTATTTGATAAATAATTAAGTATTGCTTTATTTGAACTTGTGTTTTTGTTGTCTTTTATTCCAGTACTTTAGAGTTGAATGAATTTGTTTAACTGTATATTTTGAAATGTAAATGATGCTTTGTTTTATTTGATTGTTTACTTTTTGTCGAGCCTGCGACTTTTGTCGCAGAAAGCTCGACATAGGGATAGTGATTTGACTTCTTAAAAGCTTTATATTTTAGAAGGTGAAAGACCTGGATGCTTCATACTTTGTTTATAGATGCCTTATGTTACGAAGTTTCCGTCTGTCACATGTCCATTGTCCTTGACCTCATTTTCATGGTTCAGTGACTACTTGAAAAAAAAGTTGTGATTTTTTGTAATGTTAATTTCTCTCTTATTATGAGTAATAGGATAACTATATTTGGTATGTGCCTATCTATCAAGGTCCTCATGCCCGTCAGACAGTTTTCACTTGACCTCAACCTCATTTCATGGATCAGTGAACAAGGTGAAGTTTTGGTGGTCAAGTCCATATCTCAGATACTATAAGCAATAGGTCTAGTATATTTGGTGTATGGAATGATTGTAAGTTGTACATGTCCAACTGGCAGGTGTCATCTGACCTTGACCTCATTTTCATGGTTCAGTGGTTATAGTTAAGTTTTTGTGTTTTGGTCCGTTTTTCTTATACTTTATGCAATAGGTCTACTATATTTGGTGTATGGAATGATTGTAAGGTGTACATGTCCAACTGGCAGGTGTCATCTGACTTTGACCTCATTTTCATGGTTCAGTGGTCAAAGTTAAGTTTTTGAGTTTTGGTCTTTTTTGTTATACTATATGCAATAAGTAAACTATATTTGGTGTATGGAAATATTCTATGATGTACATGTCAGTCTCGCAGGTTTTATTTGACCTTGACCTCATTTTCACGGTTCATTGCTCAGTGTCAAGTTTATGTGTTTCAGTCTGTTTTTCTTAAACTATAAGCAATAGGTCAGCTATATTTGTTGTATGGAAGGATTGTAAGCTGTTCATGTCTGCCTGGTATGGTTCATCTGACCTTGACCTCATTTTCACGATTCATTGGTCAATGTTTAGTTTTCTTAAGTCTGTTTCTTAGAAACTATAAGCAATAGGTCAACTATATTTAGTGTATTGAATGATTGTAAGGTGTACATGTATTTCTCGTTTGGTTAATATGACCGTGACTTCATTTTCTTTGATCATGTTAAGTTTATGTAATAGCTGTAGTAAAGCTTTCATTTAGGACTATCAACATAATATCAATGGTTAGTAAAGAAGGCGAGACATTTCAGCATGTGCACTCTTGTTTATTTTCTGTAAAATGCTCAGCAAAGCTTATGTTACTATGTTTTATACAATACAAAATAAAACAAAGTTTTCTATCTATGTCTATGTCATTTTCAGATTTACATAAGAAATTGTGCCAGTTAGGAGGATATCTCTTAACCTTGTTGATTAAAGAAACGCTGAATTTTAGTCAGACACAAGACCAGTAAGGAGGATATCCCTTAACAGTGTAGATTGGAAGAATGATTGAATGTTACTGAGAATGTAGATTGATATTCTATGAAGATTCCACACATTAAAAAAAAAACCTTTATTTTGTTATTTTATTACTTTGTATCAAAAATAAATTAGCACAATGTTGAAGCTTGCCATCAGATCTGACATGACAATTTAAGATTATTATACTCCCATTGAACAAAAATAAATATACCTTTATATCTGTTAGACCATCACACAATAAATTAAATATCACTTGACTGATATTGACTTGTGTCTCTTTAAGAATATTATTTGATGGATTTGTTGAGTTGCACATTTACATTCAAGGGGCCATAAAAGTGACATTATCATACATTTCCCTGTATTGAAACTAATTGTTTCTAGGAAATATCATTGGTAACGTTTTAGATTGGTATAGATGTCAAATCAAAAATATCTGCTGAAATGAATCAAAATTTTAGACATTGTTTGGTAGACCTCCTGAATCCCAAACTCCAGCTGAAAATTTTCAAATCTCCAGTTGTGACTTGACAACTCTGTCATATATCTTCTTTTTGTCCCCTGTAGTATCTAAGCTTCTATTATTGTTATTAAACTTTCACACGAGTGTCATTTTCAATCTCCAAAAACTGACACTATTATTTTTTAAAGCCTATTGTTGTGTCAAGGTCCTTTTTAGATATCCAGCTGATGTGATCTAATGCAATCACTTGGCGTTCATCATTGCTGACTGTCGTAGACTTAATTGATCAAATTTCTCTGGGCCAACTGTGCCAATTACAACAAACTTGACCACCATCATTCTTGGGCAGTCTTGTTTATAAATTATGATAATTATGCCAGGTGACCGTCTGACTTATGAATAGTTCATATTTAAAATACAGTATACAGAATTTATGGTCTAAAGCTTCATTCTGATATGTGTTTGTTGTCCTTCACCTAATTGTCATGGTTCAATGACTGCTAACAACTTTTTAGTTAGGTGTTTTTTAGTCATGATGAATAATAGGACAATACATTTGGTACAAATAATCAATCCAGTGTATGCATATCCGTATGGCATGGTTCTTCTGATCAAACCTTATTTCATAGTTCTTTGATTAACGTTTAGGTTGTGTAATCATATCTGTTTCTAAGAAACTTAAGTAAAAGACCCATCTAAATTGCATTTAATGATAAATTCAACAACGCTTACCATTATCTTGATGATATTTTTTCGTTAAAGAATTTTCTAAATATACTGCCGAAATTTACCCAAAAGAACTTACTTTAAATAAATCAAATATAGACGGTAATAACTGTCCTTTCCTAGAGTTACATATTTCAGTTTTACACGGGAAACTCTACACTAAAATTTGCGACAAAAGGGACGATTTTTCGTTCCCTATTGTTTATTTTTCTTTTTTGGATGGGGATGTTCCTTTGGCACCATCTTATGGTGTTTATATATCACAACTCGTTCGATATGCCAGTGTCTGTTGTGAGGTTTTGGATTTGAATGAAAGTAATCTATGTGTTTCTGGTAAATTATTAAGTCAGGGATTTCGTTACCACAAATTACTCAAAACCTTTACTAAATTCTTGCATAGATATAAAGATTTGGTTTGAAGTTTGGTTGTACCTGTAGAAAACTTCTTTCAAACAGGATAGCACATCCTCATTTTTACGGAGATGTTGTTTACTGAGCCCGGAAATTTAGAAACGATCCAGGTAAACTTATCGATCCTTTAAATAAACTTATTCTAAAAGGTTACCAATTCAACACTGTAATTAGATCTTTGAATACTGTTTTTATTGGTATTAATATTGATTTTGTTATCAGTAAATTAAAAGACTGAAGTCTTTACACTAAATCCATTGGATGATGGATGTGTACTGATTGATAATTTAGTCTTAAATGCATGATTTTTTTTATTAGTTGTTATTGGCTTTGAACTAGCTGTCAGTAACTGCGAGTACTCTCAGATCTGTACTTAGTGTCTTTTTGTTGTTGGGATGTACAAGTACCTGTCCACGTCCACTCTGTGTTTTTGTTAGATGTATTTCTATTTGTATCCATCTGATGTGATAAGCCTTTTTCAACTGATTTTTATAGTTTGTTCTTATGTTGTACTGTTACACCACTGTCCCATGTTAGCGGGAGGGTTTGGGCGCCCGCTAACATATTTAACCCGCCACATTCTGTATGTGCCTGTCCCAAGTCAGGAACCTGTAATTCAGTGGTTGTCGTTTGTTGCTGTGTTACATATTTGTTTTTCGTTTATTATTTTGTACATAAATTAGGCCGTTGGTTTTCTCGTTTAAATTATTTTACATTTGTCATTTAGGGGCCTTTTATAGATGACTATGTGGTATGGGCTCTGCTTCTGTGTCATTTTGGTCTCTTGTGGAGAGTTGTCTCATTGGCAATCATAACACATCTTCTTTTTTACAGTTACATTTTGTGTGAAGAATGACTCGGGTAAACATTTCCGTTATAGAAGGTTTTATGACCTTGACCTCATTTTCATGGTTCATTAATATTAAGTTTTTGTGATCTTGATCTTTTTAAGACTTTCAACATATAATTCAATTTTAATTTGTAAAGCAGGCTCGATATTTCACCGTGTGTGTGTGTACTTGTTTTGATAAAAAAAAAAAGCCTAGATACAGAGACATATGATACATTTATTATATGTCTCTGCTAGATATAATCTCTTTAAGGAAAACTGATGAGCCCATTACTAGTCCAATATGTCTACCACTATGGAAAAGCGAAGGAAATAAAAATATTTGCAAACCTCTCTGAAACCACTGTTTGAAACTGAGACAAACTTAGACACAATCATTTTGTAAACTATCCTGCAAAATCACGAAATCGACGGCAATCTTTCTTATGTTATCTCGATGAAAAACTATATTGATTATGCTTGCCGAGTTACTAAAACATGATTACTGTTTCATAAATGGAAAAATACGTAAGATGCATGTAATTATCAATTATTCTGGAGCTTTACAAGAATGCTAGACGTAAAATACATATAATTATCAATTATTCTGGAGCTTTACATGATTGTTACACGTAAAATACATATCAATTAGTCCGAAGCTATACAACGTAACTTCATGAAATGTTGCTGAAATGTCCTTCTGTGATCTTGATCTTTTAAGATTGTCAACATATAAATCTATTAATCCTCTAATAGTGCCCTGTCAGAATTTACAATTTTATCCCTCTTGACTCTTACAGAAAATAGAAAACTCTGAAAACAAATATACAAAAATTCTTATTTAATCTACTAGCTTTCATTGGTGTTGATGATTGCTGTCTGTCATTTACTTTATTGTTTTGTTTAAAAATTTTTAGCTTGGTATAAGTTAAAGTTAGAAATGCAAGCTGACCAATAAATAAACATGTATTACAAATTCACTTAATTATTAATTATTTTTAACTGAGTTTTGCAGCGTAAATTGATGAAATATTTTTGGAATTGTCCTCTAGTATTGACCTTTTTGAATATATACTTATATCCCTGTAATCTGAGGGATTCATGTTATTCTTTTTTGTGTACTTTATCCATATGCTATATGTGCATGTTCTAAGTGAGGAGCCAGGAATTCAGTACTCTTTGGTTGCTGTCTCATAATTGTTATTCTTTTACTAATTTTTCATAATTCAGGTCGTTGGTTTTCTCGTTTGAATAGTTTTACTTTTGCCATGCCTGAGATTTTTATAGCTGACTATAGGGTATGTGTTTTACTCGTTGACGAAAGCTGCACGAAGACTTACATCCACGTCATTTGTTCCCTGGTGTATATCTGTTTCATTGACAATCCTACCACAAACATTTTCTTTGACAAAGCTATTCCAGTCTGAAGCAAACATTACAATTATTCTAACAGTGCGTTGTTTAACAAGAGAACACCAGATGAAATGTCTCGCCTTTATAGATCATGATTGAATTCATGTTGGAAGTCTTTATGACATTAGGTTCTACTACAGGTATAATACATTTTACAATATTAATAATCTATGGAAATGATTCAAGCTCAGATGAAACCTGCCAGACAGATTTATTCACCTTGCAATTATTCTATAAGAAAATTTTGTATAATAAAGCATCTGCATACGAGATATGAAGGTCTTCTACCTTGTGAAACATAAGACTATCTTAATAGTTTTATGCCTGTGTCGATGGATGATCATGCCTATGTCCGGTTGCATATATGTGCAAAGTGACTAACACGGCTGACGTTATATAAAAAGAAATACCATCAATATATAAATGAGACGGAGATAAATGAAGTTAAATGTCATTTATTCCAATGTTACCTTGGTGGTCCCCTGGTAGTGAACTCGCCTCGATTGCGCGAGGTCTTTGGGTTCAATCCCCTGCAGGATCGACACAAAGACTAAATTGGTATTTGATGTCCCCGCTTATCATAAGGCACATTAAGAAGTAGGAGCAAGCACTGGACGGCTCAGATTCTGAATAATGTGTCTGGATAGGGTAACATGTCGTCTTGCCGACTATAAACTTGTGAACTAGCATATTAAATTTTCAGCTCAGCGTGTTGGTCTACTACAAAGCAGGGCTATTAATCTTAGGATACATTAAGAGACCCCCCCTTATACTGGCATCCACCCTAGGCCACACAGCACCCGATGACATATGTAGATATCATAAGATGCAATGTAAAGGAGCATATATCAATGCCAGGACACAGCATTACTTCTTCTTTGCCTCCCTGCCAACACTTGATATATCTTAAACTTATACATCAAGGTTGGATACACCACACCGGTAACCGGCATGGATACAGTGGCCAAGCAGAACATAAAGTAATGGTGAAATAATATATAAATGTCAACAAAGACAGGTTTGGGAAAAACTAACCACAGTTTATTAAGCATAGTTAAAATTTCAAATAAGGCAAGAAATATACAATACATGTACAAATGTATATGCATGATAAACAAAATTTTAAAACATGAATAACTGAAAGTGTAAGTCAAACTGTGGTTCTCCACAGTAATATAAAATCACTGCGGACAAAATTCTAAAACTACAATAATGCACATAGAGTCAAAACGCACAAAACTAGAAAATAAGGGAGTGGTGGGTGGGAAAAGAAATACGATTATGCTTGATCGATTTGACATA